CAGTGGGGACATCCAGCTGCCTACCCTGGATGGCGAGACGCTACGCCCGTCACCGTTGGTAAAGAGTCTGGGAGTCCTTTTGGACCATCTGCTGATGATGGAGGCCCAGGCCCTGAGCAGAACCACCTTTTTTCATCTGCGGCAGGCTAGACGGCTGGCCCCCTCCCTGTCCAGGGACGACCTAGCTACGGTGATCCAGGCCACGGTCATCTCCAGACTGGACTACTGTAATGCCCTCTACATTGGCCTTCCTCTGTCGGTGATCCGGAAGCTCAAGCTGGTACAAAATGCAGCTGCTCGGCTTCTTGCGGGAATTCCGATGAGATGCCACATAACACCAATCTTACTCCAGCTGCATTGGTTACCAATTGAGCACCGGATCACTTTCAAAGTGATGGTACTCACCTTTAAGGCCTTGCATGGTCTGGGGCCGATGTACCTGAGGGACCGCCTCACCCCCTCCCAACCCCAGAGATCCCTCTGTTCTGAGGACCAAGATCTATTGGAAGTCCCCAGTGTCAAGACCTTGCGTCTAACAGCAACCAGATGCAGAGCCTTCACAGCAGTGGCACCATCACTCTGGAATACTCTGCCACCCAAAGTCCGTGCCTTGCGGGACTTACCAGCTTTCTGCAGGGCATGTAAGACGTACCTGTTTCGACAGGCTTTTAATGTTTGATATTACTGTTTTTAAATTGTTTTAAATTGCTTTTAAATTTTGTTAGATTTTAGCCATCCTTGTAAGCCGCTCCAAGCCCCAGGGGAGTGGCGGCATAGAAGTTCAAATAATAAATAAATAAATAAATAAAAGTGCAGCCAGGACCAACCTTTAAAATATAATAATAATATAATAAAAACCCTGCACAGTCCTGATATATTCCTGAACTTCAAAATTGTGTATCTTCATGTTCTTGGACCTCTTCCACTTCCTTCAGTATGCTTCAGTTCTTTGATTGCCACGTCAAAGCATGCACTGATATGCACACAGAACCATTAATGCACCCACTGTAAATATTTATTTTATGTTTAGATCTGTCTGTTTGCTGCAGGGGAACATGCCCACTTACCTGTGCCAGGTGGAAAGCTTGTTTTTTTTCCTACCAAAGCAAAGCAGGTGCATCACTGAATATTTGAAGGTCCATTCTGGGTTGTTGCAGACACAAATTGGGTTATGCCTATCAGTGCCCAATTGGTGAAGATCCCTCCTTGCATGAACCAAAGAACAGATACTTTGGGTACTTGCTGTGAATGTCCATTCTGGGATGGCGCAGAGGAAGATTACATGGTGATGTGTAGCTTTCACCTCGTGCCAACGAGAAAATGTCATATGCTGAATGGGTAGCCTGCCTTGGCACTTCATTTCTAAGCATGAGGAACTTGGCAAGCATTCAGCTGTTTCTGAGATAATAAACTATTTTTTATTTGGGTTGCTGTGAGTTTTTAGGACTGTATGGCCATGTTCCAGAAACATTCTCTCCTGACGTTTCGTCCACATCTATGGCAGGCATCCTTAGAGGTTGTGAGGTTAGTTGGAAACTACAGTGGAATTCCAGACAAAAATCAATCAGGCCCAGCTAACACCTCCCAACAAAGGATTCCCCCAGGCAGGAAACAGCCAGGCTTTGAAGCTGCAAGGCCATTAAATTCTAATCAGAGCTCCTGATGACGCAATGAGTTAAACCCTTGTGCTGGCAGGACTGAAGACTGTCGGGTCACAGGTTCACATCCGGGGGAGAGTGCAGATGAGCTCCCTCTGTCAGCTTCATCTCCCCATGTGGAGACATGAGAGAAGGCACCCACAAGGATGGTAAAACATCAAAACATCTGGTGTCCTCTGAGCAATGTCCTTGCAGATGGCCAATTCTCTCACATCAGAAGTGACTTGCAGTTTCTTAAGTTGCCCCTGACACACACACACACACACACACACAAATTAAATGCTAATCAAGTTGTCCACTTGCAAAATTCACACTTGCCTCAAACAGACAAGAGTTCTTTCTCCCACCCTGGACATCATTCCATAGGGATATATAAACCTCACTTGTCTATTTTCCAACTGACCTCAAAACCCCTGAAGATGCCTAGTTTCCAGCAGACCTCAAAACCCCTGCCTGCCATAGATGTGGGCGAAACGTCAGGAGAGAATGCTTCTGGAACATGGCTACACAGCCCAGAAAACTCACAGCAACTCAGTGATTCTGGCCATGAAAGCCTTCAACAACACATATTTTTTATTTATTTGTGTTTGGATTGACTATCTCGTGCAAAATGCTTAGGGTCAGATGTCTTTCAAATTTTGGAATGCATGCATATTACACATAATGAGAGCTCTTAGGGGTGGGACCCAAGTCTAAAGATGAAATCCGTGGTTGTTTTATAGTTTGAAGATAATTTTATACAAATCAGTTTAACCATGACAGATTCAGAAGACCAGTTGTACTGAGATGTTTGGAATCGTGGTAACATGAGGCTGCCGCTGACTTTGCTTGTCCTGAAAGGCAGCTAAAGAGGCTTTCCAAAGGAAGAGGTTCTTTTGAGTCCTTTACCTAATTCAAGGCAGCGATGTAACAAGATGCAGCCTTTTCTACCAGCATTGACTGCTGCTTAAGTATAGCTTGAAGGGCAATACAGAAGCACGAGAATAAAGACGAAGATCCACCCAGAGGGAAAGTGTTCTTGCCATACATCAAGGGAACCACTGACCGCAGAGGGAAGCTGATGAGGAAACACAACATACAAACTATCTACAAACCCACCAAGAAAATCCAACAAATGCTACATTCAGCAAAGGACAAGAGGGATCCTCTCGCTTCTGCAGGAGTCTACCGTGTACCAGGCAGCTGTGGACAAGTCTACAGAGGGACCACCAAATGCAGCAGCATTGCCCAACACACAAATCAAGGAACATGAAAGGCACTGCAGACTACTTCAACCAGAGAAGTCAGCCACAGCAGAGCACCTGATGAACCAACCTGGACACAGCATATTATTTGAGAACACAGAAATGCTGGACCACACCAACAACCACCATGTCAGGCTACACAGAGAAGCCATTGAAATCCACAAGCATGTGGACAATCCCAACAGAAAGGAGGAAACCATGAAAATGAACAAAATCTGGCTACCAGTATTAAAATAACTCTAAAATTGCAACAGCACAACAACAGAGAGGAAGCAGGCAGGGACATCTAATTACCTATCAACTAAAGTTTGCTCCAGGCACAGCCAGCCCATTGTATGCTAATCAAGGTGGTCATTTGAAACATTCACACCTAGCTCCAGCAGACAAGAGTTCTTTGTCTCACCCTGGTCATTCCACCGATATATAAACCCTTTTTCCTAGTTTCCACAGACCTCACTACCTCTGAGGATGCTTGCCATAGATGCAGGCGAAATGTCAGGAGAGAATGCCTCTAGATCATGGCCATACAGGGAGCCCCCGGTGGCGCAGTGGGTTAAAGCACTGTGCCGGCAGGACTGAAGACCGACAGGTCGCAGGTTCGAATCCGGGGAGAGGCGGATGAGCTCTCTCTATTGGCTCCAGCTCCTCATGCGGGGACATGAGAGAAGCCTCCCACAAGGATGATAAAACATCAAAAAATCATCCAGGCGTCCCCTGGGCAACGTCCTTGCAGACGGCCAATTCTCTCACAACAGGAGCGGTTGCTCCTGACACGACAAAAAAAAAAAAAATGGCCATACAGTCTGAAAAAACCTACAACAACCCAATACAGAAGCTGCACAAGGCAAAAGTGTCATGAATGACTTTTCAATGACTTTTATTTATTTTATTTATTTCGAGCATTTCTACCCTGCCCTTCTCAACCCCCTAGGGGGGACTCAGGGCGGCTTAGGTTCCTTGAAGCATAGGTTCTTTTTATTGCAATTTCCAGTGTGAGAGGGTATATCAGATTACAGAAAAACATTGTAGTTGCATAGAATCTGTATGTCTGTATGTCCAATGTCATTCTTTGACATTGGACATACAGACATACAATTCTGTGCAACTACATTGGATTTACAATTAAATTGGTTAACAAACAAACAAAAGGGGAATTACATTTTCACTCAACATTCACACACATGTACACGCATTCATCCACATGCATCCAAAATATTACCATATCCTTTTCTCCCTCCTTGGAGAAGCACCTGTTAGGCCAGACTCTGCTTTCCTGCAGCCTGCCAGTGCATAGTTCCATAATGCCATAACTTCAAAACGCCGAAATGCCAAAACTCCTTTCCCTAAGAACAATGCCAATGATCAGATCTCTGTTTTCCATACAGCAGAACCTGACTCCCTGCACAAAATCCAAGACTCCAAAAGCGCACTTCTTCCTCTTCCCTTGAGAAAGAAGCCCGAAAGTGACCAAACTGCTCCCGTGCAAATCTGCCACTCTCCATAGGTACACTATCTCTCTCCTTCCCATGGAGGAGAGTATAGCGGCTGAACCAGACTCCTCACGTCTGCCACCATTTGAGCATTATTAGACTGAGTCTTTTATAGGAATGTAGTCCCAAAGTTGTAAATTGATGATAGACGTCTTCCATCCTGGATCCATCTCAGTTTCCTGGTCAGATGTTGACTCTGCTTGATTGGTGTTGACAAACACAAGGCATGTGTTGATTTCCTTCTTAACATAAGGAATGTTGCAAACATTTCCTTAACTTGGAAGAACCATTGTCACAGTTCTTATCAATTCTCATTAGCAAGTTTTCATCACAGTTCTAGTCATGGCAGGCCTTAATATTATACTGGTGTTTCCAAAATTATTAGCTCCATTCATACATCCTTCCATTCTTCCATTCATTCCCACACATCATATTAAATTCATATTTGTCAAACCTGCACATTGAATTTCTTATGACAAACGCTCTCAATAGCTGGGCTGAGAGAGACCTGTATGTGCACACAAAAGACATCAAGGACAGGGCCTCCATTCTATCACCTCATCGGAAGGCTCCCTAGTTTGTCCAGAAAAGAAATATTGAAACACAGATAAGTGGAACATTGAGAACTTTAACATTTTAGAGGAGAGGAAATGCAGATCACTGTCCACCATGATTCAATAAAGTAGTCTTTATACAGTTCCTTATCCATCACATGTCTGCAACATTTTAACATTTCACTATTGCCTAGTCTGACATATAAAAAGGTTTCCTGAATTACTTCCTAATAATGTAGCTCCTGATCAAACGCCATGTCCATTCAGCCTTGCATCGATCACATTTGACAAAAACAGACTGAAATTAGCTAGCCGTAACTGTAATCTTTGCATGCTTGAACCATCCTGCAAAAGAAGCCCAGTATGCATGGGCAAACTTGGGCCCTCCCTCCAGGTGTTTTGGACTTCAACTCCCACAATTCCTAACAGCCGGTAGGCTGTTAGGAATTGTGGGAGTTGAAGTCCAAAACACCTGGAGGGAGGGCCCAAGTTTGCCCATGCCGGGCGCTAACATCTCCGGTGCCTCCATCATATGCAAAATCGTCCACCAAGTTCTGGTCTCTGTCCAAAGCCTGAGCTCTGACGCCAGCTGGACCTCTGCAAATGACTCTGACTTCCAACTACCTCTTCCTGACTAAGCAATGATTTCTGTTTCCTCGTCCGGCTATGCTTCGGCCATGGTGCCTGGCCACAGAGGGGCAAAGAGTTCCAAGTCGTTGGTATTCTCGTCATAAATGAAACCTGTCCTCCACCTCGTCGGCAATCATTTTAGCAATGGCAAGGGAGGAGGTAGCGGCGGGAGAAGGGGCGTTTCTGACATGGAGAATCCGAGCGCCAACGTCTCCGGTGCCTCCGTCGAATACAAAATCGTCCACCAAGTTCCCGTCTCTGTCCAAAGCCTGAGCTCTGACGCCAGCTGGTCCTCTGCACATAGAAAAGAGAAACAAGTGTTCAGATATGAAATCCAAGTGACTTCCTGGCCTGCCCCAGTGACTGCTACCAAAACCTCAGAAGATATGTTGCTCTCAGATCCCAGACTGTACGTATATCCTAGGATCCAATCCCAGGTTTTCTGTTTAAACTGGATTATATAAGTCCACACTGCCAAATAATCTGGGTAAACAGAAAACCTGGGATCATATCCTGGGATATAGAGCCTGTCTGGAACGGCCTAAAAGTCAAACCCCTGCATCTCACAATTTGGCTTGTTATGGAAAAAAGGATTGGTGATAATGCTTCAGTGGAGACACCTTTTCCCCAAGATAATAACTCTTCCAGGAGGGAATTTCCCTTCCCAGGTGTAGATTTCTCTCCCTTCCTGTGGTCTTAACCCGGAGTCGTTTGTAACTCGGATGTTTCTAACTTGGGCACTGCCTATATATCTAAAACGAAAAATAATGCACCCAGGGTTTGAATTCCTTCTCAGCCATGGAAACCCACTCGGTGCCTTTGGGCATGTCATGCGCTCTCAGCATCGGAGAAAGACTATGGCCATTCTCCAAAGCCAACCCCACTGAAACATCATCCCCTACAATGTCCTTTTTTTGGATGTCACTTTCTACTTTATGAAGGCGATTTCCCTTTTCCAGCCACTTTTCAGGCACACGTGGATCTGAAATGCATTCTTCTGTGACTTTTGAAAGGATTTCCTATGTTCTTACCTGAGGATATCACTGACGGTGACTTCGGGTATGAATCTCTGCAGCTGCTTCACTTGTGCGCTGAGGAAGCAGGCTCTGTACATTTCTCCCATCCCGTATGAGAAGTTCCTGAGCACCAACTTCCATAAACCACTGAGGAGGAGGAGGAGGAGGAGGAGGAGGAGGAGGAGGAGGAGGAGGAGGAGGAGGAGGAGGAGGCGGCGGCGGCGGAGGAGGAGGAGGAGGAGGAAGAGAAGAAGATTTGCTGTAAGCAGATCGGCAGGCATCATATCTGCCATATTTGGTTTGTTGAAGGCATTCATGGCTGGAATCACTGGAGTGTTGTGTGGTTTCTGGGCTGTATGGCTATGTTCTAGCAGCATTTTCTCCTGGAGTGTTGTGTGGTTTCTGGGCTGTATGGCTATGTTCTAGCAGCATTTTCTCCTGACGTTTCGCCTGCGTCAGGTGAAAATGCTGATAGAACACAGCCATACAGCCCAGAAACTACACAACACCCCAAATGGATGGTGGTGGTTGTAAATAAATAAAGCAAGGACATTACCTGTATGCAGTCGCATCTATAAAATCTGGGACGCTGAAGTCATAGAACTTGTATCCCTCTCGTTTGAAGGCAAGAACGGCATTGGGCCCAAGCCAGACGCTGCCGTCCATCCTTGGTGTGAAATGAACGCCCAGGAAAGGGAATCGAGGGTCAGGTACCTAAGGCAACAAAGCAAAAAGATATGCGCCCAGCATTAATATGCGCCAGAAAGAACCCAATCTTTGCAGCACATTTAGTAGCAGATGTTGCTCTGCGTCCACGTAAAAAGGATTTCAGGTAGAGCTTCTCTTACAAATAAAAGGTAGGGATTGTTTCAGCGCAGCTGCAAGGTCTTTCTCCTGGGAGATGTGATAGAAAAGGGGAAGGAGAGGTACTTATGGGATTGGAAAAAGGGGGAAACCCACCCAAAAGACACTGTTTTTTGCTCATTGACAAATGGGATGAATCCCTGCAAAATATTTGAATTGCTTTAGCTATAAATGTATTCTGCATTGTCGACGGCTTTCATGGCCGGAATCACTGGGTTGTTTCCGAGCTGTATGGTCATGTTCCAGAAGCATTCTCTCCTGACATTTCACCTGCATCTATGGCAGGCATCCTCAGAGGATCCTCTGAGATGCCTGCAATAAATGTGGGCGACACATCAGGAGAGAATGCTTCTGGAACATGGCCATATAGCCCGAAAAACTTACAGCAAATACATATAGCAACCTTCTCAACACACTCCGAGACCTGGAGACTCCCATCAGCAGTCACTGAAACGATGAAATAGAGAAATGACCCACCGGATAAATGTTTCCTCTAACCAGGTAGCACTTCTCCGGTTTCAGCACCAAATAATCTCCCCGGAAAGGCACGATGCGGGGCTCTAGGCTGCAACCGCTGATTTGAGAAAGGCGATCGGAGTAAAGTCCTGCGCAGGAGACGAGATGCCGGCAATGGATTTCTTCTCCCTGCAGCAAAAGGAGAAGCAGGAGCTCAGTTCTGTATCTAACATAATTTCAAAATCAACCTGCCATTTGGGCCGTCTCTTGCTTCCACTTCTATGGCGCTTCTCATGCTCACTCTGTTTGGATTTATACTTTATCTTTGGAAGGCAGGCATTCATCAATCTTCTCCCATTCTTGTAAAATGCTGATTCTGCTTGAAATTTCTCTCTGAGTGATACGACAATCTGTCAACCTTTTGCATGTGAAACTCAGTGGTTGCTGTCACAGGAAGTCCAACTCTTTGTTTGTTGCCCAAGTCAGATGTTCCCATGTCGACATCTTTAAACTTACTCGCCCAATGACGCACAGTACTCACATCAACACAATCATCATAAACAGCTTGCATTCTCTGATGAATCTCCTTTGGGGTGACACCTACTGTTGTCAAGAATTCAATGACTGTACGTTGCTTAAGTTGCATTGACTGACCGTCTGCGCAGGGTTCTATACTTCGCACTTTAACAACACAACCGTTCAATGCTAAGGCTTCCCACCAAAATGAAACTGTAGAGGAGTGTCTACTGAACAAGCCAGTACCTGCCGCATACCAGTACTGCCATCTGTTGAGGAGTTACAAAGGTGGAGGCATTACTGTTCATTCAAACCTTGTACATTTGTATCGGGATGTGATGAGTGCATTGAATGGAATTGCACGATTGGGGTCTGGGCTAAGGGCCTATTAGGGTTTGGCAATGAAGAAGACACCATCCTAAAAATAAAACCAATTGCATTACTGAGAAGCAAAAGAGGTGAAGAATCCGTTAATTGTGGCAAGAAAAGTATTGATGAAGAAAAACTGCTGAACTGACATAACTGACCTGAGAACCTTTGGTGTAAACAACACATGTTTAAATAGTCAGAGACAATAGCTCTTTAAAGTTAAGAAAGTCAGAAAACATGGCTTCCTACATTAAGAAAGTAAAACAACATTGATGGAGCTTCAGCAAGTCTTAGGTGAATGACAAGTTATCAAAATAATCCAGAACAACAACAACAAAAGGGTTCTATATAAAGAGACCTTTTTATTTTTGAAAAGTGTGGCAGATCTGTGAGGAATGCAGCCTGTCCACTCGCCTACTTCCTCCTAACAGCCTAATCAAGTCAGAGGGATGGTGAGTATGAATGTGAGTGAATGTACGTGGAGTAAATGCTGAGTAAATGTGATGTTTCTCCTTTGTCTGTGTAACCAATTTGGTTACTATAAAACCAGTACTGGAGTTTGTATATCTCCTTCCTCTGAAAGTGCCTGATGCAATCTGTCCCACTGAAAATTGACATCTTACCTGTCCGAAGATATCTCTCCTTATGAACCATCTAGGTCTCTAAGATAGTCTAGGGAGGCCCTGCTCTCGGTCCCGCCTCCACAGATGCGATTGGCGGGAACGAGAGACAGGGCCTTCTCAACGGTGACCCCTCGGCTATTGAACGCCCTCCCTAGGCATATCAGATCGGCCCCCTCCTTCCTAACATTTTGAAAAAGAGTTAAAACCTAGCTTTTTGAGCAAGCATTTGCAAATGCGGTGTAACAGGCTAATTTAGACCCACAAAACAACTGGACGATGCGACTGGAAAATGATTTTAGTAATGAGACGCTGAGGACTTGTGTTTTATTGTTCTTATTGTTTCTATTGTTTTTATATGGTTTATATTACATGTTAATGTTTTTAATTTGATTTTATGTTGTCGGGGGCACTGAATTATGCCGGTTGTAAACCGCCGTGAGTCGCCTTCAGGCTGAGAAAGGTGGTATATAAATATGGTAAATAAATAAATAATAAATAAATAAATTAGAGAATATTTTTAAGGCATTCATAACAAAGACGTCTGAACAATTCCACAAAAGAAAAATGTGATGCCACATAATTTAAAAAAAGCAAACCTGAAAGATCTTACCTTTGAGTTTCTAACAGCAACCGGGTATTTCATCCCTGTGAGTAATAAGAAAATGACAGTGCTAAGTGGGTTGTGAAATTGTCATCGACTTACTGGTCAGCAATCAGATCCAATATTTGCTTTCATCTACCTTGATCTTAATAGGGTCTTCATTAGACACTCTCTTAATTCACAGGCAACACACTAAAAACAACACACCTAATCTGTGGAACTCCGAGCCACTAAAAGTAGTGAGCACAAAGTATTTGTACTGTTCACATACGAAAGCTGACTGGCACAACCTGGGGATCACAACCAGACACAGTGAAGAGATCTGGCCTTGCGCTGTGCTACTCTGCTGCTGAGTATGCATGCCCGGTGTGGAACACATCTCACCACACTAAAACAGTGGATGTGGCTCTTAATGAGATATGCTGCATTATCACAGGGTGTCTACACCCCACACCACTGGAAAAATTACACTGCTTAGCCAGTATTGCACCACCTGACATCCGCCGGGAAGTAGCAGCCAATAGTGAAAGGACCAAGGCAGAGACATCTCCAGCTCATCCCTTGTTTGGGCATCAGCCAGCATGCCAACGATTTAAATCAAGAAATAGTTTTCTAAGATCTATAGAGACACTCGCAGGAACACCTCAGCAAGCGAGAGTCCAAAAGTGGCAGGCTCAAACCCAGAGCCTCAATCCATGGTTGATACCAGATGAGAGACCCCCCTGGGCACACAGAAGACTGGGCGACTTGGAAGGTGCTGAACAGACTGCGGTCTGGCACCACGAGATGCAGAGCCAAGCTTAAGAAATGGGGCCACAAAGTGGAATCCACGGCATGCGAGTGTGGAAACGAGCAAACCACAGACCACCTGCTGCAATGCAACCTGAGCCCTGCCACATGCACAATGGAGGACCTTCTTGTGGCAACACCAGAGGCACTTCAAGTGGCCAGATACTGGTCAAAGGATATTTAACCAACTACCAAGTTTGCAAAATCTGGGTTTTTTTTTTAATCTGTGTGTTTGTTTTGTTCTGTTAGAAATGTAATACAATGGTATGGTTGCTCATGACACGATAAATAAAACATAGGAAAAAAACCATATGTAGGAGCTTAAAATAACATTTGACAGTATAACTAAGTTAAAACAACTCTATGTAATGTATTGTCGAAGGCTTTCATGGCTGAATCACTGGTTGTAGGTTTTTCGAGCTGTATGGCCATACCTCTGAGGATGTCTGCCATAGATACAAGTGAAACGTCAGGAGAAAATGCTTCTAGAACGTGGCCAAACAGCCCAGAAAACCTACAACAGCCCAACTCTATGTAACTCAAGGTGTTCTGCTTCCTGCCTACACATAGGAGCCACTTCTGCCTTCTTCTCGAATACTTCTGTACCCTTTGAGAAGGAAGCAACATGATGCTTCTCTTTGCCTCAAGATAGCCAATACACAAGCTCATAAGACATGGAGTCAGCACATGGAATTCTTCTACCACAATTAAGTAACTTTCTTTGTCTCTTTTATGAGGTCCATTACCTGCAACAATAAAAGTGTTTACTGTTTTGAACCTTACCAGAGCATCCTGCGTATTTCTCTCCTGTTTCTACCATAAGCTCGTATGTATGCATATACAGTATATAATCCAGTAAAAAAAGATAATCCACATTATCTGCTTTGAACTGGATTATATGAGTTCAAGGAAGATAATCTGGATTTTAGATGGCAGTGTAGAAGGGGCCCCATTTTACCTACATTTTGAAATATATGGTACGTCAATATAAAATTGTGGCAAGTTCTTGGTGGGATGGGCATCCCAAGCCCCCTTCCCTCTCTCCTGAGGAATCTGTACAAGGACCAAGTCGCAACAGTCAGAACTGACCACAGAACAACAGACTGGTTCAGGATTGGAAAAGGCTTACGGCAGGGTTGTCTATTCTCACCCAACCTATTCAACTTGTATGCAGAACACATCATGCAAGGATGTGCGGGGCTTGATGAATGAAAAGCTGGGGTGAAAATTGCTGGAAGAAACATTAACAACCTGAGATATGCAGATGACACCACTCTGATGGCCGAAAGTGAGGAGGAGCTGAGGAGCCTTCTAATCAAGGTGAAAGAAGAAAGCACAAAAGCCGGGTTGCAGCTAAACATAAAAAACCCCAAGATTATGGCAACAAGAATGATTGACAACTGGGAAATAGAGGGAGAAAATGTGGAGGCCGTAACAGACTTTGTATTTCTAGGCGCAAAGATTACTGCAGATGCAGACTGTGGCCAGGAAATCAGGAGACACTTCCTTCTTGGGAGGAGAGCAATGTCCAATCTCAATAAAATAGTAAAGAGTAGAGACATCACACCGGGAACAAAGATCTGCCTAGTCAAAGCCATGGTATTCCCCGTAGTAACTTACAGATGTGAGAGCTGGACCTTAGGGAAGGCTGAGCGAAGGAAGGGAGATACTTTTGAGCTGTGGTGTTGGAGGAAAGTGCTGAGAGTGCCTTGGACTGCGAGAAGATCCAACCAGTCCATCCTCCAGGAAATAAAGCCCGACTGCTCACTGGAGGGAAGGAGACTAGAGACAAAGTTGAAGTCCTTTGGTCACATCATGAGGAGACAGCAAAGCCTGGAGAAGACAATGATGCTGGGGAAAGTGGAAGGCAAAAGGAAGAGGGGCCGACCAAGGGCAAGATGGATGGATGGCATCCTTGAAGTGACTGGACTGACCTTGAAGGAGCTGGGGGTGGTGACGGCCAACAGGGAGCTCTGGCGTGGGCTGGTCCATGAGGTCACAAAGAGTCGGAGACGACTGAACGAATGAACAACCACAGTATAAAATAATGCTATGGTGGATTGTCCATTTCTTTCTCAGCTATTTGAGCTACTGATGGCAAATTCTGCATCTCTGGAAGACCTTTAAAAGAGCGTTGTGGTAATTGATCAGCATGGAAACATTAACCCATATCACTTGTGTATCCCAGGTCAACCTCACGTAGAAGCCGAGCTCAGGTTTTGGAGCTCAGGTGCTTCATTTCCTACCTTCTTCGCTTCCGGCGGGGCTTTCCTTGTTCATCTGAATGTCTTTTACTTCAAAATCGGTCAAGACGGTCCCTCCCGCAGCCTGGAAGTCTTCCGCGTAAGCCAAGGCCACCTGCCTGTAGTTGACGATGCCCGTGTAGGGAGAGTCCAGCGCCATTAAGCCCTGACAAAATAAATGGTGAAAGGATCCAGATTTGTTCTGCCTCTTAGGCAGCATTTCTTCTAGGCCAGTGGTTCTCAACCTTCCTAATGCCGTGATCCCTTAATACAATCCCTCATGTTTTGGTGACGCCCAACCATAATATTGTTTTCGTTGCTACTTCATAACAGTCATTTTACTACTGTTATAAATCATAATGTAAATATCTGATATGCAGGATGCATTTTCATTCACTGGACCAAACTGGGCACAAATACCCAATACACCCAAATGTGAATGCTAGTGGGGTTGGGGAGGATTGATTTTGTAATTTGGGAGTTGTATTTGCTGGGATTTATAGTTCACTTATAATCAAAGAGCATTCTGAACTCCACCAGCGATGGATTTGAACCAAACTTGGCTCACATGACCAATGGAAAACACTGGAAGTGTTTGATGGGCATTGACCTTGTGTTTGGGAGTTGTAGTTCACCTATATCCAGAGAGCACTGTGGACACAAACAATGATGGATCTGGACCAAACTTGGCACGAATACTCAATATGCCCAAATGTGAACACTGGTGGAGTCTGGGGAAAATAGATCTTGACATTTGGGAGTTGTAGTTCCTGGGATTTATGGTTCATTACTTCACTTCACTTTATTTCTTAATTAGTTGCTCTCCACCAAGGTGCTCCAAGCGACTTACAATCTAAAATAGCATTTACACAATATAAAAACATTCAACATAAAAACATTCAACAGTGACTATTTGGCAAATTAGATCTGATTACTTAAATGCACAACCAAACAGCCAAGTCTTGAGTGCCTTTACAAAAGGTCGCAACTCCGACATTGCTCTAATGTATGGAGGCAATGAGTTCCATAGAATTGGAGCATAGATCGAAAAAGCTCTATGCCTTGTAGCTTCCAGGTGTACCTCACTAGGGCCCGGTATGTATAGAAGATTTTCCTGGGTGGATGGAGATAACCACTGATGGAGAAAAGGAATGAGGCGGTCCCTAAGATATAAAGGTCCTTGGCCATTTTGAGCTCTAAATGTAGGGTTCAGTATCTTGTAAGAGATCCAATGTTCTATTGGTAGCCAATACATTACAATAAAGCACTGCCTGAATATCAAGCAAAAGGTGGGCGCTAGAAACAATATCATATGAAAGCTGACTGGCACAACCTGGGGATCACAACCAGGCACAGTGAAGACATCTGCCCTTGCGCTATGCTACTCTGCTGCTAAGTATGCATGCCCACTGTGGAACACATCTCACCACGCTAAAACAGTGGATGTGGTTCTTAATGAGACATGCCACATTATCACGGGGTGTCTGCGCCCTACACCACTGGAGAAATTACACTTGACATCCGCCGGGAAGTAGCAGTCAATAGTGAAAGGACCAAGGCAGTGACATCTCCAGCTCATTCCCTGTTTGGGTATCAGCCAGCACGTCGACAACTTAAATCAAGAAATAGTTTCCTAAGATCTACAGAGACACTCGCTGGAACACCCCAGCAAGCGAGAGTCCAAAAGTGGCAGGCTCAAACCCAGAACCTCAACCAATGGCTGATACCAAATGAGAGATTCCCCCCTGGGCACACAGAGGACTGGGCGACTTGGAAGGCGCTGAACAGACTGCGCTCTGGCACCACAAGATGCAGAGCCAACCTTCAGAAATGGGGCCACAAAGTGGAATCCACGACATGCGAGTGTGGAGAAGAGCAAACCACTGACCACCTGCTGCAATGCACCCTGAGCCCTGCCACATGCACAAGGGAGGACCTTCTTGCAGCAACACCAGAGGCACCCCAAATGGCTAGCTACTGGTCAAAGTCTTGGTAGTTTAATCAACTTGGTAGTTTAATCAACTACCAAGTTTACAAACTTTGTGGTTTGTCTGTTGTTTGTTCTGTTCTGTTAGAAATGTAATACAATTGTCTGGTTGCGCCTGACATGATAAATAAAATAATCTGCTTTGAATTGGATTATATAGCAATGTAAACACATATAATCCTGTTCAAAACAGATAATGTGGATTTTCTGCTTTGGTAATCTGGATTATATGGTAGTGTAGAAGAGGCCTGAGTCTCTCCACCTGGATTGTGGTCTTCCTCTTTTCCTATTGCCTTTCATTGTCTTTTCTAGTGAATCATCTCTCCCATAGTTGGTTTCTCACTGCAAAGCATTCTTGTGGGAATATTCCAGCCGCATTCCCCCTGTTCAAGAGTTTGTTAAATCCAATGGGAATGTGTGCCTCAGTGCTGACCTTTGCCTGCTTACTCCCCATTCCCGGAGATATTTCGTAATGGAGACCAGGCCTTGCCTTACCCGGCAATAGGGTTCCTTGGCTTGTATCTCTTTGGCGTTTATCAGCTTCAGGCCCCGGACTTTGTTCTGCAGCCCTCTCTTGTACAGAGCCTTGAGCCTGGGGATTTCTTCCTGCTCCACCGCTACTATCAGCTGCAAAGAAAATGAGAAAAGCGTGTTATTTTTCACCATATGATGCCACCTAAGCCATCAAAATATAATATAATATAATATAATATTTTTATATACATATAATATTTACAATACTATAATGTAATGTAATATAATAATAATAATATGATATTATAATTATATATTTATATTACATGTAATATTACTAATAATCTATATAAATAAAAATGTAATGTTCATTCACATAACTCAAAAACCACTGGACAAATTACCGCTGAATTTGGCCACAAGACACCTACTAACCCAGGGAGTGACCATCACTCAAAAAATTGATTTTGTCGTTTGGGAGTTGTAGTTGCTGGGATTTATAGTTCACTTACAATCAAAGAGCATTCTGGAACCCCCCCCCCCCCCCAACGATGGAATCGAACCAAACTTGGCACACAGGACTTCCATGACCAACAGAAAACACTAGAAGGGGTTGATGGGCATTGACCTTGAGTTTGGGAGTTGTAGTTTACCTACATTCAGAGATCACTGTGGACTCAAACAATGATGGATCTGGACCAAACTACACGAATACTCAATATGCCCAGATGTGAACACTGGTGGAGTTTGGGGAAAATAGAATCTTGACATTTGGGAGTTGTAGTTTCTGTGATTTATAGTTCACCTACAATCGCAAAGCATTCTGAACCCGACCAATGATAGAATTGGGCCAAACCTCCCACACAGAACTTCCATGTGGGCCATAGCAACGCGTGGCAGGGGATTGCTAGTAATATAATATAATCTATAATATAAATAAAAATGTAATGTTCGTTTGTGGGATTAACAGAACTCAAAAACCGCTGGGGGAATTGACACCAGATTTGGACACAAGACGCCTAACAACCCAATGTATGTCCTTCACTCATAAAAACACTGAAAAACACAACAGAAGGGACTTAAAATGCCCCCGAAAGGTAAATGACGAAAAGCTAAATGACAATACAGAAAAAAGGGAAGAAAGGGGAAGGGAAGAAAAGAAAGAAAGATGGAGGGAAAGAAAGAAGGAAGGAAGGAAGGAAGGAAGGGAGGGAGGGAGGGAGGGAGGGAGGGAGGGAGGAAGGAAGGAAGGAAGGGGAGAAGGAAGCATGGAAGCAAAGAGAGAAGGAAGGAAGGAAGGAAGGAAGGAAGGAAGGAAGGAAGGAAGGAAGGAAGGAAGGAAGGAAGGGGTAGAGAAGGAAGAAAGGAGAGAAAGAGGGAAAGAAAAAGGGGGAAGGAAGGAAAGTCAGAGAAGGAAGGAAGGAGAGAAGGAAAGAAAAAGGGAAAGGAGGAAGGAAAGGGAGCGAAGGAAGGGGGAAGATGTAAAGAAAGAGGGAGGGAAGAAAAGAGAGCAGAAGAGAAAGAAAAAGGGGGAAGGAAGGAACGTTAGAGAAGGAAGGAAGGAGAGAAGGAAAAAAAGGGAAAGAAGGAAGGAAAGGGGGAGGATGTAGAGAAAGAGGGAGGGAAGGAAAAAAGGAAAGGGAAGGAAAGAGAGACAGAAGAGAAAGAAAAGGGGGGAAGGAGGAAAAATGAGAAGGAAGGAAGGAAAGAGAGAGTGAAGGAAGGAGGGAAAGAAGGGGAGAAAGAGGGGAGATTGTAGCAGGGTATAAATAAAGGTTTATTATTATTATTTATTAAGTTGCATTGACTGACCGTCTGTGCAGAATTCCATACTTTGCACTTTTAACAACACAACCGTTCAATGCTAAGGCTTCCTTCCAAAATGGAACTGTAGAGGAGAGTCTACTGAACAAGCCAGTGCCTGGCGCATACTAGTACCGCCATCTGTTGAGGAGTTACGAAGGTGGAGGCATTACTTTTCATTCAACCCTCGTATATGCACTAGTTCCATTTATACATTAGCTTCCTTCGCATCTAGTACAAGCGACTGAACTGCATACCTTGCCGCACTGTTTATATGGGATCCCCTTCTTGTCACAGTATTCATAGCACAGGAGAGATCCCTCCACACACAGCTTGGCCTTCAGCGATCCGGGCGTGTAGTAGATTCCGCTGTGAATAACACCGCTGTTGTGTCCGCTCTGATGGACGGCTAAACAAAGAGGAGATAATAAATAAATAATTATAAATAAATAAATAATTATAAATAATAAATAAACAATCCACATTATCTGCTTTGAACTGGATTATCTGAGGCCCCTTTCACACAGCTGGATAAAATCCACATTGAACTGGATTATCCAGCTGTGTGGACTCAGTTCAGTTCAAAGCAGATATTGTGGGATTTTCTGCCTTGATATTCTGGGTTACAGGACTGGGCTGTGGCGCAGCTAGTTAGTAGCCAGCTGCATTAAATCACTACTGACCAAGAGGTCATGAGTTTGAAGCCATCCAGGGTCAGAGTAAGCTCCCAACCATTAATAGTCTAGGTTGCTGTCGACCTCTGCATCCTGAAAGGCATTTGCATCTGTCAAGTAGGAAATTTAGGTACCGCTTTATGCCGGGAGGCTAATTTAACTAATTTACGACGCCACATCATGAAGTACTTTGGCTACATCATGAGAAGAAAGGAAAGCTTAGAGAAGACGATGCTGGGGAAAATGGAAGGAAAAAGGAAGACGGGCCGACCAAGGGCAAGGTGGAGGGATGGTATCCTTGAAGTGACTGGCTTGACCTTGAAGGAGCTGGGGGTGGTGACGGCCGACGGAGCTCTGGCGTGAGCTAGTCCATGAGGTCATGAAGAGTCAGAAACGACTGAACAAATAAACAACAACAATGCCATAAAACCTTCCAGCAGCATGCAAAAGAATGAGGAAGTACTCCATCAAAGGACCCAGTGTTACAAGTGGACAGTGAAGCAGCAGCTCCCCCTGTGGCCGGAATCGAAATACCCTCATGAAGCCGGAAAAGCTGGAATGTTAAATTGCCTCTGTGTCTGTCTATATATGTTGTATGTCTAGATGGTATTGAATGTTTGGCATGCATATGTGCATTGTAATCCGCCCTGAGTCCCCTTTAGGGTGAGGAGGGCAGAATATAAATACTGTAAAAAATAAAAAAAATAAAAAATAAATAAATACTGTAAATAAAATACTGTAAAAATAAAAAATAAAAATAAATACTGTAAAAAAGGAATATAAATACTGTAAGTAAGTAAGTAAATAAATAAATAAATAAAAGCAGATATTGTGGATTATCTGACTTGATATTTTGGGTCATACGGCTGTGTGGAAGGGCCCTGAGTCTACACTGCCATATAATCCAGTTCAAAGCAGATAATCTGGGTTTTATATGGAAGTATAAATGTGGCCTAAGTTTTTATGAACTGAAAGGTGGGGAAAAGAATATACAGTTAATGAGAAAAGCCTTAAGGGAGCAATTCGCCACATCTGCATAAAATCCACATTGAACTGGATTATATGGCAGTGTGGACTCAGATAACCCAGATCAAAGCAGATATTGTGGATTATCTCCCTTGATATCCTGGGTTATACGGCTGTGTGGAAGGCCCTAATTTAGGCGACGAAAGACATCAGAAATCCCAAAAGGTTGCATTAAGGAAGTCATGGAAACTGAATGTATACAGAAGGCATCGATGATGGATTGCAACCAACTAGACCAGGCATGGGCCAACTTGGGCCCTCCCTCCAGGTGTTTTGGACTTCAACTCCCACAATTCTAGGAAGTCCAAAACACCTGGAGGGAGGGCCCAAGTTGGCCCATGCCTGGCTGTAAAAGCATCCTAAATACGTAGATGTGGATGTTGCGTGAATGTGTATCCCATACCTAACTCCTTCTCCTTTTCCAGCACAGCGAAGGTGAGGGATGGATGTCGCAAGCACAGCTCCCGGGCCGAAGCCAGGCCCACGATGCCGGCCCCAACGACAGCAACGTCAAAGGTGTTGTGGCTGAAAATGAATGTAAGGGGGGGGGGGGGGAGGATTGTTACATTCTCCACATTTGGAACACTTTGTAACACAATTTTTGTTCCGGGGTTATACTGTAAATGTCATTTCCTAATTGTTTCTATTGTGAAAACATGGGAAAGGTTTATAAAACCGCAGGAGGGACATCATCTGAGTGTGGACTCAAATAACACAGTTCAAAGCAGATATTGTGGGATTTTCTGCCTTGATATACTGGGATATTGGGCTGTGAGGAAGGGCCCAAAGTTTCTGGAGTAGAACAACTGCTTTCCAAGTAAGGACGGCAGAATTAAAACAGGAAATAGCACTTTCAAACAAGTAACATTTATTCAAATTTTGCGTTGTTGTAGGTTTTTTCGGGCTATATGGCCATGGTCTAGAGGCATTCTCTCCTGACATTTCACCTGCATCTATGGCAAGCATACACAGAGGTAGTGAGGTCTGTTGGAATTAGGCAAAAGGGTTTATATATCTGTGGAATGACCAGGGTGGGACAAAGGACTCTTGTCTGCTGGAGCTAGGTGTGAATGTTTCAACTGACCACCTTGATTAGCATATAATGGCCTGACAGGGCCTGGAGCAAACTTTTGTGAGAGGTGATTAGATGTCCCAGATTGTTTCCTCTCTGTTGTTGTGCTGTTGTAATTTTATAGTTTTTTAATACTGGTAGCCAGATTTTGTTCATTTTCATGGTTTCCTCCTTTCTGTTTCTTGTGGATTTCAATAGCCTGACATGGTGGTTGTTAGCGTGGTCCAGCATTTCTGTGTTTTCAAATAATATGCTGTGTCCAGGTTGGTTCCTCAGGTGCTCTGCTATGGCTGACTTCTCTGGTTGAAGTAGTCTGCAGTGCCTTTCATGTTCCTTGGTTCGTGTCTGGGCAATGCTGCTGCATTTGGTGGTCCCTCTGTAGACTTGTCCACAGCTGCATGGTACATGGTAGACTCCTGCAGAAGCGAGAGGATCCCTCCTGTCCTTTGCTGAACGGAGCATTTGTTGGATTTTCTTGGTGGGTCTGTAGATAGTTTGTATGTTGTGTTTCCTCATCAGCTTCCCTCTGCGGTCAGTGGTTCCCTTGATGTATGGCAAGAACACTCCAACCATCACCCAAGTCAAAAAAGAAGCACCATTAAAGCCTTGGTAGACCATGCAAAAAGAATCTGCGAAGCCCACCTCCTTCAAGATGTACTGGACCACCTAAACTGGGCTCTACAGGCCAATGAAGACTCCACCTCAGACATCAGAAGAGCTGCAAGACAACCGAGAACAAGCCACGAGAGTCAAGACGAAGATCCACCCAGAGGAAAAGTGTTCTTGCAGGCGAAACGTCAGGAGAGAATGCCTCTAGACCATGGCCATATAGCCCGAAAAAACCTACAACAACCCAGTGATTCCGGCCATGAAAGCCTTCGACAATACATTATTCAAATTTTGTTGTAGAGTGTAATGGTCACCTTTATTTTATTTCTAGTGTCTATTTAATATTGATGTTTTGTGAGTTTGTATCGTTTTTAAGGCCGTGAGCTGGTTTGGATCTCAGTCCTGATAGAAATGTGTGCTAGAAGAGGAAAAAATAATAGAAAATATAATGTAATAATAAAATGTAATAACAGAAATAATAAGAAAATATAATATAGAAAAAATATAATATAATAACTAAAAAATAGAAAATATAATAATAGAAAAATATTATAATATAATAAAAAGAAATAATGGAAGATATAATAATAGAAAAATAATATAACAAAATATAACAAATAATAATAATAATATAAAATAATATCATAATAATAGAAAATATATATAATAAAATAAATAAAAGAAGATATAATGATAGAAAAATAATATAATAAATATAACAGAAATAATAGAAAATATAATAAAATATAATAAGAGAAAATATAATAATAGAAGATATAATAAAATAACATAATAAAATATAACCAATAATAATATAAAATAATAATATAATAGAAAAATAATGTAATAAATATAACATAATAATATAAAATAATAATATAGTAATAGAAAAATAATATATATAATAAAAGAAATAAAAGAATAATAGAAATAGAACAATAATAGAAAGCAATATAATAAAATATAATAGAAATAATAGAAAATATAATAATAATATAATAAAATACAATAGTAAAAAATAAAATACACTAACAGAAATAGTAATAATAGAAAATATAATAATAAAATAGAATATAATAATAAAATATAATAACAGAAATAATAATAGAAAACATAATAATAGAAACAGAATATAATAATAAAAGAAATAATAGAAGATATAATAGAAAAAATAATATAACTATAAAATATAACAAAATAATAATAGAAAAATATTATAATAAAATATTATAATAGGAAATATAATAATAAAATATAATAACAGAAAATATAATAGAAAACATAATAATAGAAACAGAATATAATAATAAAAGAAATAATAGAAGATATAATAATAAAAATAATATAACAATAAAATATAACAAAATAATAATAGAAAAATAATATAATAAAATATTATAATAGAAAATATAAAAATAAAATATAATAACAGAAAATACAATAATATAAGAATAAAATACAATAAGAGTATAAAATAAAATATAATAATAGAAAACATAACAACAATAAATATAATAGTAATAATAATAATAGAAAATAATATAATAAAATATTATAATATAAAATATAATATAATAACAGAAAATATAATAATATAATAATAAAATACAATAAGAGTATAAAATAAAATATAAGAATAGAAAATATAACAACAATAAATATAATTGTAATAATAATAATAGGGAGGGAATCAGTCTTAGGCACTACAATCTGCCAGAGGCAGTGCTGCCTGTTGCATTCTGGGAAGTGTAGTCCAGACTCGGCTCATCCTCGGCCGTTGATGGTGAGGGGAGCCTCCCTGGGGACTACACTTCCCAGAAGCCCTGCTGTCAGGTGCCTTGTGGGAACCCAGTCTCTCCTGAGTCTGTCCTTTCTCGGCCATTGTGGGGGGCCTGCTCCTCGCTCACCTTGTGGGTCCTTCTCCGGTGCCGAGGCCTCGCCAAGGGAGGCGGAAGGGCCGAGGCGGGAGGAGGAGGAGGCGGCGGAGGGCGGGCAGCGGCGCCATCTTGGGCCTAGTGAGGCCTAGCACAGGCCGGGGCCGCCTTGGGCCCTCTCTCCAGGAGTCCTAGAGGGAGGGCCCAAGCAGGCCCCGGCCTGGCCTAGCGCCTCCTCCTCCTCCTCCTCTTTCTGAGGCTCCTCCTCCTCCTGCAGATCTGGGAGGCGAGGCCTAGTCAGAGGCGGAGGAGAAGCGGTGAGGGGACGCCTTTTCTTCCTTCTTTACCCCAGCCAGGCTCCTTCCAGGGAGGAGGCCTCTCTCTCTCTCCCCCTCACTTCAATGCCCACTCCCCGTCTCCACTGGCTTTTCCTTTTAGGCAGGACTACAACTGGGTTGTTGTAGGTTTTTATAGCCATGTTCTAGAGGCATTCTCTCCTGACCTTTCGCCTGCATCTATGGCAAACATCCTCAGAGGGAGTGAGGTCTGTTGGAACGAGGAAAAAGGGTTTATATATCTGTGGAATGACCAGGGTGGGACAAAGAGCTCTTGTCTGCTGGAGCTAGGTGTGAATGTTTCAACTGACCACCTTGATTAGCATATAATGGCCTGACAGTGCCTGGAGCAAACTTTTGTTGAGAGGTAATTAGATTATTATTATTATTAGGTTCTTGTGGGTTTTTTCGGGCTATAGAGCCATGTTCTAGAGGCATTTCTCCTGACGTTTCGCCTGCATCTATGGCAAGCATCCTCAGAGGTTGAGAAGGTCTGAGGATGCTTGCCATAGATGCAGGCGAAACGTCAGGAGAAATGCCTCTAGAACATGGCTCTATAGCCCGAAAAAACCCACAAGAACCTAGTGATTCCAGCCATGAAAGCCTTCGACAATACATTATTATTATTATTATTATTATTAAACTTTATTTGTACCCCGCTAGCATCTCCCGAAGGACTCGATGCGGCTTACAAAGGCCAAGGCCTCAACACAACAACAACTGACAATAACAATATGATACAAAGAAAATTAAAAACATAAGCAATAACAAAACATTACACTATTACGCAATAAACCAGGGCCGGGCCAATGATGGGTACAGATTAAAAAGTGCTGAGTGTGAGAGGTGGTATGTTGGGATTCTGGGCAAGTGCAATGTGCAGAGAGTCTTAAACTCTAGTAAAGTGCTTCTGGGACGTAGTGCTGGAGGTTATCCTATTCTGGAAAAGCACATCGGAATAGCCAGGTCTTCAAGTTCTTTCTAAAGACTGCCAACGTGGGTGCTAGTCTAATGTCTTTGGGGAGGGTGTTCCAAAGTCGGGGGGCAACCACAGAGAAGGCCCTGTCCCTCGTCCCCACCAAACGCGCCTGCGACGCAGGTGGGATCGCGAGCAGGGCCTCTCCGGATGAACGAAGGGAGCGTGTGGGTTCATAAACAGAGATGCGGTCACATAGGTAGGCAGGTCCCAAACCATTTAGGGCTTTGTAGGTAAGCACCTGCACCTTGAATTGGGTTCGGTAGGTAAATGGCAGCCAATGGATCTCCTTGAACAGGAGGGTTGACCTCTCTCTGTAAGGAGCGCCAGTTAACAGCCTGGCCGCTGCCTGTTGAACGGACAAGTCTACATAGGGACCACCAAACGCAGCAGCAATGCCCAGACACAAATCAAGGAACATGAAAGGCACTGCAGACTACTTCAACCAGAGAAGTCAGACATAGCAGAGCACCTGAGGAACCAACCTGGACACAGCATATTATTTGAGAACACAGAAATACTGAACCACTCTCATAACCACCATGTCAAACCACACAGAGAAGCCATTGAAATCCACAAGCATGTGGACAATTTCAACAGAAAGGAGGGAACCATGAAAATGAACAAAATCTGACTACCAATATTAAAAAATTCAAAAACTACAACAGCAAAACAACAAGGAAACAAACAGGGACATCTAATCACCTCTCAACAAAAGATTCCCCCAGGCACTGCCAAGCCATCAAATGCTAATTAAGGTGGTCAGTTGAAACATTCACACCTAGCTCCAGCAGACAAGAGTCCTTTGTCCCACCGTGGTCATTCCACAGATATATAAACCCATTTTCCTAGTTCCATCAGACCTCACTACCTCTGAGGATGCTTGTCATGGATGCAGGCGAAACGTCAGGAGAAAAATGCCTCTAGAACATGGCCATATAGCCCGAAAAAACCTTCAATAACCCAGTGATTCCGGCCATGAAAGCCTTTGACAGGACTACAACTCCCACAATACTCCCCCGCTAGCCTCAAGGCTGAGAGGCTTCTGGGAGTTGTAGTTTCCCCGCCTCATCCCCCCCCCCACCAGAAGTAAGCCTGTTTTGAGCATGCACTTTAAACTCGTTCCCAGATTAATATGATTTCATATCATGTGATGGATTTATTGTAGTTTGATACAGTGATTAATACAATGTAATGGATTTAATGGAGCCCCCAGTGGCGTAGTGGGTTAAACTGCTGAGTTGTTGAACTTGCTAATCAAAAGGTCACAGGTTCGAATCCGGGGAGCAAGCTGAGCTCCTGCTGTTAGCCCCAGCTTCTGCCAACCTAGCAGTTCAAAAACATGCAGATGTGAGTAGATCGATAGGTACCGCTTCGGTGGGAAGGTAACGGCGCTCCATGCAATTCACATGACCTTGGAGGTGTCTTCAGCTTGGAAATGGAGATGAGCACCACCACCCTCCAGAGTTGGACGTGACTGGGCTTAATGTCAGGGGAGGAGCCCCCGGTGGCACAGTGGGTTAAAACCCTGTACCGGCAGGACTGAAGACCGACAAGTCGCAGGTTCGAATCCGGGGAGAGGCAGATGAGCTCCCTCTATCAGCTCCAGCTCCTCATGCAGAGACATGAAAGAAGCCTCCCACGGGGATGATAAAAACATCAAATCATCCGGGCATCCCCTGGGCAACTGTGTTATCTTGAGTCCACACTACCATATAATACAGTGCTTCCCAACCTGTGATCCTAAAATAAGGTCCACGGTGCTAGATTATTAAAGATAGTTTTCTGTGGGTGAGCAGATGGCAACTACTGGATGGTATATCTTCTGTATCAGAAACTAGAGCGAATGTGGTCTATCTCATGCTATATGCCTGCGAAATGTGGACTATCTACAGATGTCACACGCAACTCCTGGAATGATTCCATCAGTGTTGCCTCCAAAAAATCCTGCAAATCTCTTGGCAAGACAGATGGACAAATGTCAGTGTGCTGGAAGAAGCAAAGACCACCAGCATTGAAGCGATGGTCCTCCGCCATCAACTCTGCTGGACTGGCCACGTTGTCCAAATGTCCAATCACCGTCTCCCAAAGCAGTTACTCTACTCCAAACTCAAGAACAGAAAATGGAATATTGGAGGACAGAAAAAGAGATTTAAAGATGAGTTCAAAGCCAACCTTAAAAACTGTGGCATTGACACCAAGAACTGGGAAGCCCTGGCCCTTGAATGCTCTAGCTGGAGGTCAGCTGTGACCAGCAGTGCTGTAGAATTCAAAGAGGCCTGAATGGAGAGCGAAAGCATTTTATTATTCCTTCTCTATTACCTGCTTGTCCTTGCAGCTCATGGCAGGGTGCAACAGGGTTAAGCTTGCTCCCAGAACGATTAACATACAGTACTATTAAAATACATTTACCACAACACTAGACCAATGAAATGTATGTTGTGTTATTCCTTCTTTCCCTCTATGTTTGTATGCATATATATTTTACATTGGGTGTCTTTTGGGAGGACCCGGTGTTTTCGAATGTATGCTCAGCTTTGTTTTAACTGTGATGTCACTTTTAGCCTGATATGTTATTCCTTCAGCAGAAATCCACTGAGCTGACACAGTTGTGACCATTGCGATGCTGACTGAAGTGTTGATAAGGCAACGGAATGCATGGAAGACACTGGCCTCCTGTGATGGACGGCGACACTTCTGGGGTTGGCTGAATAGCGTTTTCAACAAGTGAGGGCACAAGGAATAAATTATAAATGGCTAGTATTTTGCATTTATTAAGTATCTTCTCCTTGCCCAGCTGCATGTGTTGTTGATTACTTTAATGGCCGAAGTGGCTGGGTTGCTGTGAGTTTTTTGGGCTGTGTGGTATGTTCCAGCAGCATTCTCTCCTGTCATTTTGCCTGCATCTCTGGCTAATTGCATCTTCAGAGGCCTGATGATTTATCTTGTCCTATCTCCCAGTTTTTAAAATTTTTAGCCTTGAATGTGGCCCTGCCCAGTGAAATTCTCTGTTTTTAAATGCATGTTTTATATAGTTTGTGTCATTTAGTGTATTTCTTTGCATTTGATATATTTATGTTCTGGTCTTGTTATGTTTTTGTTTTACAATGTATGTACTGCACTGATGGGCTTGGCCTCATGTAAGCTGCACCAAGTCCCCCTGGGAGAGATGGAGCGGGGTATAAACAAAGTTTGTTTGTTTATTTATTTATTTCTGTTGGCAGTGAGGCAAGTGGAGTGTGTATATATATATATGTGGAATGTCCAGGGTAGTAGAAAGAACCCTTATCTATTTATGGAAATGTGAATGTTGCCATTAGCAAACTTGATTAGCATTGAGTAGCCATGAGGTTGCAAAGTCAATCAGTGAGGAGATCTGTGTAGAGGTGGCCTGGACTTTGTTGTCTGGAGGCATCCTCTGGTTGGGAGGTGACAAGTGGCTCATGATTGCTTGCTATCTGGAGTTCTCCTGTTTTGGAGTGGTGTTCATTATTTACTGTCTTGATTCTTTTTTTTTAATACTGGTAGCCAGATTTTGTTCCTTTTCAAGCATTCTGGAACATCGCCATACAGTCTGGAATACTCACAGCAACCCAGTGATTCCGGTTATGAAATCCTTGGACAACACATTATTTATTATGTTTATTTATATCTTGATTTTCTCTCCACGAGGAGACTCAAAGCAGCTTACATTTAAACCATTTCAATATTTGTATATTTTATAATACAGTTTTAAAGTATACAATTATTAAAACAGAATTAAATATCATTAGTATTAAAAACAATTAAGTTAAAACCATAAAAAGATACTCAAAACTAAAAACCACAGCAGTTCCCTGATTTGATCGTAAAATCAATACAATTAAAGCCTGCAAAAGTAAATAGAATTAAGCTACTTACGATGTTAAAACAATACAGTTAAAATGCAGCGACAAAAGATCAAAACTGAGACTGAGAGAAGGGCCTCTCCAGAGGATCTCGGAGCCCAGACCAGCTCATACTGGGAGATATGATCTCCCGAATATTCAATCCACTGACTTTAGAATCACTTTTTTTCAGACTCAAAGGTATTTATTTGTTATGTCAGGGCAACCAGTCAATTCAAAACAAACAAACAGACAAAACACAAAACTTGCAAGTTTGATAGTTGATTAAATGTCCTTTGACCAGTATCTGACCACCTTCTGGTGTTGCCGGAAGAAGGTCCTCCATTGTGCATGTGGCAGGGCTCAGGTTGCATTGCAGCAGGTGGTCACTGGTTTGCTCTTCTCCACACTCGCACGTCGTGGACTCCACTTTGTAGCCCCATTTCTTGAGGTTGGCTCTGCATCTCTTGGTGCCAGAGTGCAGTCTGTTCAGCGCCTTCCAAGTCACCCAGTCTTCTGTGCGCCCAGGGGGGAGTCTCTCATTTGGTATCAGTCACTGATTGAGGTTCTGGGTTTGAGCCTGCCACTTATGGACTCTTGCTTGCTGAGGTGTTCCTGCGAGTGTCTCTATAGATCTTAGAAAACTATTTCTTGATTTAAGTCGTTGACATGCTGGCTGATACCCAAACAGGGGATGAGTTGGAGATGTCTCTGCCTTGGTCCTTTCCCTATTGGCTGCTACTTCCCGGCGGATGTCAGGTGGTGCAATACCGGCTAGACAGTGCAGTAACTCCAGTGGTGTAGGGCGTAGACACCCTGTGATAATGCGGCATGTCTCATTAAGAGCCACATCCACTGTTTTAGCGTGGTGAGATGTGTTCCACATTGGGCATGCATACTCAGCAGCAGAGTAGCATAGCGCAAGGGCAGATGTCTTCACTGTGTCTGGTTGTGATCCCCAGGTTGTGTCAGTCAGCTTTCGTATAATATTGTTTCTAGCGCCCACTTTTTGCTTGATGTTCAGGCAGTGCTTCTTGTAGGTCAGAGCACGGTCCAGGGTGACTCCCAGGTATTTGGGTGCGCTGCAATGCTCCAGTGGGATTCCTTCCCAGGTAATATGTATTGTTTGAAGATGGAAAGAACTTGCTCCCTTTTCCCCATGTGCAGGGTGGACCATGAACGGATCCAGGCCGTTGGCCCAGACAGAGCGGCTTCAGAGTGGCTCCTCCGGTGCGGAGCATTTGTGCGATATCATGGATTTGATAAATGGCAGCAGAATTACAACGGCCTCCCGACTGGGCCGCTCGGAAAATACAAGATCCAAGCCATCGATGCCACGGAATCATGCATCATGTATAAGGGATTCGATTATTTGGGTAAGTGGCACAGACTTGACAGTGCATATTGGTTTTTTTACAAACTGTCATTTTTGACATATAGTGACACTATGGGGACACTAAGGAGCCCCCGGTGGCACAGTGGGTTAAAGCACTGAGCTGCTGAGCTTGTTGATCGAAAGGTCGCAGGTTCGATTCCGGGGAGCGGCGTGAGCTTCCGCTGTCAGCCCTAGCTTCTGCCAACCTAGCAGTTCAAAAACATGCAAATGTGAGTAGATCAATAGGTACTGCTCCGGTGGGAAGGTAACGGCACTCTATGCAGTCATGCCGGCCACATGACCTTGGAGGTGTCTATGGACAACGCTGGCTCTTCGGCTTAGAAATGGAGATGAGCACCCCAGAGTCAGACATGACTGGACTTAATGTCAGGGGACTACCTTTACCTTATGGGGTTTTCTAGCCAGCATTAATTCAGAGCCTTCCTCTGAGGCTGGGAAAGTGTCACTTGCCTAAGGACTTTGTTGAGCAGGGATTCAAACCCTCATCTCTCAGTATCCATTGTTCAAACTACAAATTAAATCGTTTTTTTCCCCTTCAAACATCCAAAGTCAGCATTGCTGGTCTCTTAATTCAGACTTTCATCAGCTATTGTTCTTACCATAGGTTATTTGGGTGCTGTTTTGAGCTTAAATTATTGTTTGATATGCTATTGCTTTATCTTTTATTGTATTGTGTGTTTATTTTATGCATTGTTTTAGGCACACTGTGCTGTATATATGCCGCACCGAGTCCCTTTGGGGAAATGGAGGCGGGATATTATTTATTTATTTATTTATTTATAGCTTTTATATTCTGCCCTTCTCACCCCACAGGGGACTCAGGGCAGATCACAGTGTACACTTATATGGCAAACATTCAATGCCAGTTTTTGACATACAACATATACAGACATAGACAGAGGCTATTTAACTTTTTTCTGGCCGCCAGGGGAGCTGTCGCTTTCATCGTCCATCTGCGACACTGATGAAGTACTTCCGCATTCCCCGCATGCTTTTTGCTGGAGTCTTTTTTTATGGCCTCATAAATTAGTTAATTTAGCCTCCCCACACTTTAAGGTGGTACCTAATTTTCCTACTTGACAGATGCAACTGTCTTTCGGGTTGCAAAGGTCGACAACAGGCTACACAATTGGTTGGAAACCCATTCCAACCTGGGCTGGTTTCGAACTCATGCCCTTTTGGTCAGAAGTGATCTTAATGCAGCTGACACTCTCTTATTTGTGTATCTTGCAGGGATACACAAATAAAGTTGTTATTATTGTTGTGTGCCTTCATATCGTTTTCAACTTATGCTGACCGTAAGGGTTTTCTTTGCAAGATTCAGAAAAAGCTTGCCATGACTTTCCTTTGAGGTTGAGAAAATGCAATTTTCCCAAGGTCACTTAGTGGGTTTCATGGGTGATCATGGATTCAAACCTAGATTTCCAGTGTAGTTGGCTGGGAATGATAGTTTACTTATTTATTAAACCATGTATTTCAATTCAGCTGAAGTTTCTGAACACTGTTGATAGTTTACTTACTTAGGCGATCCCTCGTAGTCCGAGGATGATGGTCCTCCAAGTATAGTGTCCTGGCGGTGGGTCCGTAGGTGGCTGTGGAGCCCTATTCTTGCTCTGCATCATCTCCCGCAGTGAGGGCTTCGGTTTCCAGGTGGAAGGTGGTCCTGGTTGGGCTTGACGTACCTTCTCCTTGGCACGTTTCTCTCTTTCGCCCTCTATTTGTGCCTCTTCAAATTCTGCAGCACTGCTGGTCACAGCTGACCTCCAACTGGAACGCTCAAGGACCAGGGCTTCCTAGTTCTCAGTGTCTATTCCAGAGTTTTTAAGGTTGGCTTTGAGCCCATCTTTGAATCTCTTTTCCTGTCCTCCAACATTCCGTTTTCCGTTCTTGAGTTCGGAATAGACCAACTGCTTTGGGAGACGGTGGTCGGGCATCCGGACAACGTGGCCAGTCCAGTGAAGTTGATGACGGAGGACCATCGCTTCAGTGCTGGTGGTCTTTGCTTCTTCCAGCACGCTGACATTTGTCCGCTTGTCTTCCCAAGAAATTGCAGGATTTTTCGGAGTAATTGTTCCAGGAGTTATATGTGACATCTGTAGACTTTCCACGTCTCGCAGGTGTATAGCAGGGTTGGGAGGACAATAGCTTTATAAACAAGCACCTTGGTATCCCTACGGATGTCCCGGTCCTCAAACACTCTCTGCTTCATTCAGAAAAAAGCTGCACTCGCAGAGCTCAGGCAGTGTTGAATGTCAGTGTCAATGTTGACTTTGGTGGAGATGTGGCTGCCAAGGGAGCGGAAATAGTCAACATTTTCTAATGTGACACCATTGCTTAATTTCTGGCATTGGAGGGGGATTTATGGTCTGTCACTGGTAATAGTACTATTGAAATGGATGCTAACAGTAAATATTTTGCCTGTGTCAGATGGCCTGGAGAATGTTGAGGAAATCAAACTTTCCAAGTGCATGTACATCCAAGACGACTGCTTACAACGGCTCAGCGAGACCCCAACCCTGCAGAAAAGCCTGCTACGCCTATCGATAATCTCCTGTGGGAACGTCACGGATAAAGGTGTCATCGCATTGCATAAACTCAGGTGAGCAACAGGGCCATGTCTTTTCCAAGCCACTGTGTCCATTTATTTTATTTGTAGCAACGGAGCGAAGGAAGTGCAAAGTGAATTTTACAAGAAGATTCAAAAGTAGGTTAAAAAGAGGGGAAAAGAGAGTGAGAAGAGAATGAAGAATTCAGGAGATATAAGCATTGCCAAGCTCCACATCGATGGCAGGCATCCTCAAAAGTTGTGAGGTCTGTTGGAAACTAGGCAAGCGAGGTTTATGTTGTAATTTTAGAGTTTTTTAATACTGGTAGCCAGATTTTGTTCATTTTCATGGTTTCCTCCTTTCTGTTGAAATTGTCCACATGCTTCTTGTGGATTTCAGTGGCTTCTCTGTGTAGCCTGACATGGTGGTTGTTGGCGTGGTCCAACATTTCTGTGTTCTCAGATAATATGCTGTGTCCAGGTTGGTTCCTCAGGTGCTCTGCAGTGGCTGACTTCTCTGGTTGAAGAAGTCTGCAGTGTCTTTCATGTTTCTAAATCCAGTGCCTAAAAAAGGGTTGAAAAACTCGGCGTATATAGGGCGATAATAATAATAATAATAATAATAATAATAATAATAATAATAATAAGTAGTAGTAGTAGTAGTAGTAGTAGTAGTAGTAGTCGTCGTCTGCAGTGCCTTTCATGTTCCTTGATTCGTGTTTGGGCGCTGCATTTGGTGGTCCCTATGTAGACTTGTCCACAGCTGCATACGGTAGAACAGAGCACCTGATGAACCAGCCTGGACACAGCATATTATTTAAGAACACAGAAATGCTGGACCACACCGACAACCACCATGTCAGACTACACAGAGAAGCCATTGAAATCCACAAGCATGTGGACAATTTCAACAGAAAAGAAGAGACCATGAAAATGAACAAAATCTGGCTACCAGTATTAAAAAAAACTCTAAAATTACAACAGCAAAACAACAGAGAGGAAACAACCAGGCACATCTTAACACCTCTCAACAAAACATTTTCCCAGGCTCAGGCAGGCCTTCAAATGCTAATGAAGGTGGTCAGCTGAAACATTCACACCTAGCTCCAGCAGAGAAGAGCTCTTTGCCCCACCCCAGCCATTCCACAGATATATAAACCCATTGTCCTAATTCCAACAGACCTCACTACCTCTGAGGATGCTTGCCATAGATGCAGGCAAAACATCAGGAGAAATGCCTCTAGAACATGGCCCTATAGCCCGAAAAAACCCACAAGAACCTAGTGATTCCAGCCATGAAAGCCTTCGACAATAGACTCCAGGTAGACAACAGATAGAAAATAATCTGGGACATCTAATCACCTCTCAACAAAAGATTGCCCCAGGCACTGCCAGGCCATCAAATGCTAATCAAGGTGGTCAGTTGAAACATTCACACCTAGCTCCAGCAGACAAGAGTCCTTTGCCCCACCCCAGTCATTCCACAGATATATAAACCCATTTTCCTACTTCCAACAGACCTCACTACCTCTGAGGATGCTTGCCATAGATGCAGGCGAAACGTCAGGAGAGAATGCTTCTAGAACGTGGCCATATAGTAACAACCCAAAGTTTATTATTATTATTATTATGAATTCAGGTCAGGGTATTTACAGGGTACTCATGGGCAAATCTACTCAGAGGTTCGGTAGGGCTTGTGTGTACATAACATGTCACTTGTTGACTTATGGTGACTTCATGAGTTTCATCAGATACTGGTCAAAGGACATTTAATTAACTACCAAGCTTGCAAACTTTGTGTTTTACCTATTTGTTTGTTTTGTTAAAAATGTAATGCAAATGTCTGGTTGCTCCTGACACGATAAATAAATAAAATAAATCAGTTTTTTTATGCCAGACTCAAGGTAGTTTGTCATTACCTTCTTCTGAATGCAGTCAACAATAGGTATGGACAAACTTTGGCCCTTCCTCCAGATGTTTTGGACTTAGGCTGTTAGGAATAGTGGGAGTTGAAGTCCAAAACACCTGGAGGGAGGGCCAAAGTTTGCCCATGCCTGGTCTACAATATTCGAGTATCCTTTGGTGGACCCCCATCCAAGTCCTAACCAGGCCTGACCCGACTTAGCTTCCAAGACCAGATGAGATTACATATCTTCATGGTATATATGGGGATTGTTCGCCAGTACTTTACTTACTTAGATGATCCCTCGTAGTCCGAGGATGATGGTCTTCCAAGAATGGTATCCACATGAAAGAATACATGAAAACATAGACCAGAGTTGTAGTGCTCATGTGTTCATGTTTTCCATGAATGCCCATTGAGTCTTGTGTCTTATTATATGTACAATGGAGCCAACAAATATTTTGCTAAACACAACCTTCCTTCTCCTGTAACTTTTACTTTATACAGTAACCTTGAGTATTTGTTCCTGAGTGACCTCCCTGGGATCAAAGACAAAGAAACCACAGCAGAGATGCTTAGGAAATCCATGCCGGCTCTGGAGCTGGAGCTAGACTTGGAATAAAAGAAGCGCCAAACTCTTTGGCTTCTACCATATAGTTCTATCTGTTGGGGACATATCAAAACATGGAGGTGTAGAACAAGGATCACCTTCCAGAATCATCGCTGACTGCGATTCGTTGGCTGCATCTCGGGGAAAATGCTTAGGAGCTCTTGCTTATTTATTTATTTACTCCATTTATATTCCGCCCCTCTCAGCCCAGGGGTGACTCGGAGTGGTATATAAATGGTGTAAATTGAAGCCTTGAAGTAGGCAAGGCTTCAATCCCTCCCACCATATGAAAATGTCAGGGAATGTGGATCGAGAATGTCATGAGTTGTGCTTCTATTGTGTAATGGAAATTGATGAATGGTAAAACTGGGTTTGCGTACTAATTCCAGAGGCCATTGGCATGTAACATTGTCATTTGAGAAAAATCCCAGAGAAGAATTTTCTTCTACACCAGGCATGGGAAGCTTCTGCTCTCTCTCCAGGTATTTTGGACTTCAACTCCCACAATTGGACTTCAATTGTGGGAGTTGAAGTCCAAAATACCTGGAGAGAGAGCAGAAGCTTCCCATGCCTGGTGTAGAAGAAAATTCTTCTCTGGGATTTAGGAATTGTTAGGAATTGTGGGAGTTGAAGTCCAAAACATCTTGGAAGGAGAGCTAAAGTTTGCTCATGCCCGATTTAAGAAATCCAGACAGGTTCAATTGAGGCCACATCAAAGCATTCAAGATTCAGAGAAGACCGCAGAGGAAAACAGCAATAGAAGGAACTTGAAAGATAAGGTCAGTGTTGCCATTTTATTTTTATTTTTACTATGTATACCCTTTTAATAATTTTGCTTGGCAAGTGGTATGAATTAATACCCCTAATAAAATCATCATTGGGTGTCTTTATGTTGTTCCCGTCTTATTGTGCTCCTAAAGATGAACGTATCACAGGGTTTTTCTTGGCAAGGTTTGTTTAGAGGTGATTAGCCTTAATCATCTTCGAGGCTGAGTTGTTCATGGTCACTTATGCACGACCTCATCTCCGTCTACAAACCCACGCGACCTCTTCGATCTTCCGGAGAGGCCCTTCTTTCGCTCCCAGCTGCATCACAAGTGTGACTTGTGGGGATGAGAGAGAAAGCCTTCTCTGTAGTGGCCCCCCAGCTCTGGAACTCACTCCCCATAGATATTAGACAAGCTCCCACACTGGCAATCTTCAGGAGGAACCTGAAAACCTGGTTATTCCAATGTGCCTTCAATGTTTGAATGTAGGAATATTGTGTCCAATTCTGGGCACCATGATTCAAGAGAGACAAGCTGGAATGTGTCCAGAGGAGGGCGACTAAAATGATCAAGCATCTGGAGAACAAGCCCTATGAGGAGCAGCTTAAGGAGCTGGGCATGATTAGCCTGAAGAAGAGAAAGCTGAGAGGAGACATGATAGCCATGTATAAGTATGTGAGAAGAAGCACAAGGCGGAGGGAGCAAGCTTGTTTTCTGCTTCCTTGGAGACTAGGACGCAAGGGAACAATGGCTTCAAACTGCAAGAGAGGAGATTCCATCTGAACATGAGGAAGAACTTCCTGACTGTGAGAGCCGTTCAGCAGTGGAACTCTCTGCCCCAGAGTGTGGTGGAGGCTCCTTCTTTGGAAGCTTTTAAACAGAGGCTGGATGGCCATCTGTCAGGGATGATTTGAATGCAATATTCCTGCTTCTTGGCAGAATGGGGTTGGACTGGATGGCCCATGAGGTCTCTTCCAACTCTTTGATTCTATGATTCTATGACACTCCCTGACCAAAATGACCTCAGAAGCACTTTATTTTATGATTCGTGCAATTAAATCCTCCTCATCCCCGGTTTCCCCTTCATGACAATTTTACATTACCTATCTCCCAGTGTTTTTAATAATTTTAAATTTTTATTCTTGAATTGGCCCTGCCCAGTGAAATTCCTTGTGTTTTGATGTTTTGATTTTATATTGCTGTGTTATCTATTATATTGGCTTTTGCATTTTATATTTTTGTGTAATACTGTGTTTATTGTATTGATGGGCGTCGCCTCATGTAAGCCGCCCCGAGTCCTCCTGAGGGAGATGGAGTAGGGTATAAATAAAGTTTTATTATTTATTTATTTATTTATTTATTTATTATTATTATTATTATTATTATTATTATTCTATGGCCAAGTCTTGAACCCTGGTCCTCAGAGTCCAGCTCTCCAACCACTATGCCGCGCTGGTTGCTCTCCTGATAAAATAAGTAGCATCTGTTCTCAGCTTTCTGGTTGCTTTTTGTTTCAAAAAGAGCACCAGCATGATTTTTTTTTTGATTTTTTTTATTGAGAAAGAAAAATAATAACATATTTGAACAGATAATACTTGTCTATTGTAGGCATACATTATAGTGACATATTTCAATATTATCTATTCGCATTCTTTACAAGTTTATTCATATTACATTTTTATTATTATTATTTTCTTCTTTCTTTTTTTTCCTCCCCCTCCTCCCACCCCCCTTTCCTACCCCTCCCACCACATTTCTCTCTATATCTTTATTTTTAACCACGCACACAACTTTTGCAATCTTTGTACAATTTCTATGCTGGCTTCACCTTCTTCTACCCATTTCATATATGTTGCCCATTTCTCTTTAATTTCTTCTGTTTTATCCTCCTGTGAGTCTTCTTGGGTTATACATTCAATAATATCTGATTGAACTTGTTCAAATAAATAATTATTCCAATATTCCAAATTCCATTTTTTTTTCATCTCTCCACCCCCAGGCTATTACTGCCTTACCTGCTAAAATCATTGCTTTAAATAAGTTTTGGTTCTTCGCATCAATATTTTTATTCCCTGTAATTGCCATTAACATAAATTCCATATTGGCTTGTATTGTTATTTTGAAAAGTTTCCCAATTTTTCTAGTTATCTTATTCCAAAACGTTTTTGCATTTAAACAGTCCCACCACATATGTGCATACCAGCCTTTCTCTGCTTTACAGTGCCAACACATTGGACTTAATCCTGTTCCCATATTTGCTAATTGAGCTGGTGTCCTGTACATTTCCAGATAAATTTCCTTTCTAATTCTTTATATTTTTCCATTTTGATTTTATTTATCCCTTTCTTTAATTCCTCAATAGTTTGTTTTGTGAGAGTCCCCTCCTTCTGCCACTTATTTTGTAATGTTCTGACTACGTATTCATCGTCCTTTATCATTGTTTTGTATAATTCTCCTACTAAACCTTTCATTGTCTTCTGTCCTTTCTTAAATATAATTTCAAGCGCACTTTCCTTGCCTAAACATTCTCCATATTTCCCCTGTTTAAGTTTGTTATATAGGCCTAGTACTTTTATCCAGTTTTTATTTCCCATTTTTTCTATTATCCTGTCCATGGGAATCAGTTGACCATTTATATCATACATATCTTTAATGCAGTAGTAGCCTTTATCTTTCAAATCTTCCCACCATATAGGGCCAAACTCTTTTCCATATAAGCTTTCTAGTGGTGTCCACTTTACTATATTAGGCATCCAAATTGGTTTCCATTTTTTCCATATTTTTAATGCTAATCTTCTAGGACCTCTTGTTTTTTTAATTGAAGCCTCTAAATTTTCTGTAAAAATCCCAAATTTTCCTTCTCCATTGTTTACTGCATCTTCTATTCTGCACCATTTTTCTTCTCTCTCTACACTACTTTCTATTAATGACTTTAATTGGAAAGCTTCGTAATATAATTCCAAGTTTGGTAATCCCCACCCTAATTCTTCCTGGTGCATATAGTATACTTTGTTTGAGATTCTAGGTTTCTTTTCGCTCAAAATCCATTCTCTGATAGTCCTATCCCAAGTTTTTATTTGTCTTGGATTAATTTCTAGTGGGAGAACCTGAAACAAATACATTAATTTTGGAATTAAGAACATTTTTGCTGCTCTTATTTTCCTAAAAATATTCAATTTTTTTTCCTTCCATCTTTTCATGGTCTTAAGAACTTTTTTCCACGCCTCTTTATAGTTACTCTTCTTCATCTTATCTATGTTTTTTTGTATTGTTACTCCCAAGTATTTTATTTTTCCTTTCCCCATGCCAATTTCAGTTATTCTATCTATTTCCACTTTTTCTGCTTTATCTACTTTGAAGTACATAATTTCTGATTTTTTTATATTGACCCTCAATCCTGTATTTCTCTCGTAATCACTTAGTATAATTTTTAGCTCCCTTATTCCTTCTAGGGGATTGGATAGTACCACCATAAGGTCATCCGCAAAAAGATTCAATTTAACCTCCAGTCCCCGCCCAAATTTACACCCCTCAATCCTTGCACTGTTTCTTATTCTATCTGCTAACACCTCCATTCCTAAAACAAAAAGCAATGGTGATAGGGGACAGCATGATGGCACAACCTGGGGATCACAACCAGACACAGTGAAGACATCTTCCCTTGCGCTATGCTACTCTGCTGCTGAGTATGCATGCCCAGTGTGGAACACATCTCACCACGCTAAAACAGTGGGTGTGGCTCTTAATGAGACATGCCGCATTATCACGGGGTGTCTGCGCCCTACACCACTGGAGAAATTACACTGTTTAGCTTGTATTGCACCACCTGATATCTGCTAGGGAGTAGCAACTAATAGTGAAAGGACCAAGGCAGTGAAATCTCCGGCCCACCCCGTTTGGGTATCAGCCAGCACGCCAACGACTTAAATCAAGAAATAGTTTTCTAAGATCTACAGAGACGCTCGCCGGAACACCTGAGCAAGTGAGAGTCCAAAAGTGGCAGGCTCAAACCAATGGCTGATACCAAATTGGAGACTCCCTCCTGGGCACACAGAAGACTGGGCGACTTGGAAGGCGCTGAACAGACTGCGCTCTGGCACCATGAGATACAGAGCCAACCTTAAGAAATGGGGCCACAAAGTGGAATCCACGACATGCGAGTGCGGAGGAGAGCAAACCACTGACCACCTGCTGCAATGCAACCTGATCCCTGCCACATGCACAATGGAGGACCTTCTTGTGGCAACACCAGAAGCACTCCAAGTGGCCGGATACTGGTCAAAGACATTTAATCAACTACCAAGCTTGCAAACTTTGTGTTTTGTTTGTTTGTTTCTTAATGCAATACAACTGTTTTGATTCACTCCTGACACAATAGATAAAATACCAGCATGATTAGCTGCTATAGAGGAAAAGTGGTCCTCCCCAAGTCTCCCCGCCTCAAACATTCTGATAGTTTCACCAGAGATTGCTGGAGGAAGGAGGTGAGACATGAGTGTGCTGTTTCACAAACTGCTTCTGGATTGAGATGCTACTGATTTGTGGAACTAAGGTTGTTATGTGGCCAAGGAACTGATCTAGAAATGCACCCTTGATCTCTGAAGAATTTCCACCGAATCTATTTTGCGTCACATACGGGAGGCAAACAAAACAGTGTACTCTTCCTTTTAATTCTACAAGAATAGATTTTTAATTACAGCTGGAACAACGCCCAAGATGAGGTTACGTCAAGCATGAGTCCGTTGGTCATTGAGCCCCGCATTCAGTAGCACGCAGGTTGTGCCGGTTGCTCACAGCGCAGTCAAAATGTGAATAATGTTATCTACTCACTACCTCTGAGGATGTTTGCCATAGATGCAGGTGAAACGTCAGGAGAGAATGCCTCTAGAACATGGCCATATAGCCCGAAAAAACATACAACAACCCAATGTGATCTACTACTTACACTTCTGTGAACCATGCCAAAGGCATGGTGGGCTTTGTAGTTCAACATCTCCGGAAGGTGTCCTGTTGGACAGGGGATGTTTTGGAGAGCAGCATTAAGCCACTCTCGACAAAGTAAGATTTTCTTTTTAATTAATAACTGAGACATAGCATTTGTTTCTGAAGTTAGTGTTAGAAAAAAATAAGATCGGTAAAGATTGAGATAGAAAAAACCCAGGTTAATACGAGTTCCCTATGCAAGAGAGAGAGGTACCAAACTAAAATCAGTGCCAGAAATTGCACTGAAATGTATATAAACCAACTGTTTTGATTCTGCAAACACAACACACACAGAGAGCCTCTTTAACATGGTCTCCAAAGCATAGCTAAGGCCACATCCAGTTCTGATCATGTCATCTCATAGTTGATGACATGTTTATTTCCAAGTAGTCCCACTTAGAATCCTAGAGTTGGGAAGAGACCTGGTGAACCATCCAGTCCAACACGATTCTGCCAAGAAGCAGGGAAATTGCATTCAAAGCACCCCCAACAGATGGCCATCCAGCCTCTGCTTAAAAGCCTCTAAAGAAGAGACTCCACTTGATAAAATAGGACTTGGTTATAGATAAGATAGATAGATAGAACACAAAAGCAAGCTGGAAATGTACTTTTCCTGCATGGCAGGGAGTTGAACTAAATGGCTCATGTGGTCCCTTTCCAACTCTTATTATTCTATGTGTTAAATTATGACTTCTCTAACCATGTGATGAAGAAAAAAACATATACTCTCCAGTTATTACCAGTTTATAGTTCAGAATCCAAAGCAAGATCTGGTAGTAATTGGGCAACCCTTTTCTCTCTCTTGGCAACAGCCCATGGGAAAGGCATCTAGGCGTCTTTGGAGGTGACAAGCTGAACATGAGTCAACAGGGTGAGGCAGCAGCTAAAAAGGCCAATGCGATTCTAGGCTGCATCAATAAGAGAATTGTGTCTAGGATATTCATGGGCAAACCCAGGCCCGGAGGGGGGGCAGGCGGATGCAGCCCTTTAGGCTTTTTTCTCAGCCCTTCTCTCTCTCACCATCCTATCTTCCCTTCCTTCCCTTCCACCCTGTTGCCTTCCTTGCCTCTTTCCTCTCCCCTTCCCTCATTCTTCTTCCTTCCTTCCTTCTTTTTTGTATTTCCGTCCTTCTCTTTTTCCACCCTCCATTCCCTCCCACCTTTCCTTCTTCCCACCGTTTCCTTCCTTCCTTCTCTTTTTCCTTCTTCCTTTCCTCCTGGGGGATGTTTAGCTGGGAGAAGAGAAGGTTGTGAGGGAAGACAACAAGTTAAACATGAGCCAACAATGTGATGTGGCGGCAAAAAAAGCCAATGGGATTTTGGCTTGCATCAAGAGGAGCCTAGTGCCTAGATCCAGGGAAGTCATGCTCCCCATGCTCTATTCAAGAAGAGAAGGCTGAGAGGAGACGTGATAGCCATGTATAAATATGTGAGAGGAAGCCACAGGGAAGAGGAGGGAGCAAGCCTGTTTTCTTCTTCCCTGGAGACTAGGACGCAATGCAGCAATGGCTTCAAACTACAAGAAAGGAGATTCCACCTGAACATGAGGAAGAATTTCCTGACTGTGAGAGCCGTTCAGCAGTGGAACTCTCTGCCCCGGAGTGTGGTGGAGGCTCCTTCTTTGGAAGCTTTTAAACAGAGGCTGGATGGCCATCTGTCAGGTGCTTTGAATGCAGTTTTCCTGCTTCTTGGCAGAACGGATGGCCCATGAGGTCTCTTCCAACTCCATGATTCTAAGATGAGAACCATGTTTCAAGATTTCAAAGAGTGTCCCATTGAGGAGGAGAGGGAAACTGGCTTCCTGCTACTCTAGAGAGAAGGCACAAGGAAGCAATGGGTACAAATGGCAGGGAAAGAGTTTAGGAAGAACTTCCCGAGAGTAAGAGCAGTTTGAGAGTGGCATAGGCTGCCTGGGAGCATGGTGGAGTCTCCTCTGGAGGATTTTCCACAGAGGCTGTCTATTGGGAGTGCTTTGATTGTGCCTTCTTGGATGGCAGGGAGTTGGACTGGATGGTTCAAGGGGGTCTCTTCCAGCTCTAGGATTCTATATCAGGAGCAGGCATGTAGCCAGGGAGGGGGGGCTTGAGGGGTTTCAGTGTCCCTCCCCCCCCAAATTTTCAGAGTGGTCCGCAAGAAGGCCTGGGTACATTATTTAAACTGTTGTGTTTATTCATATCACGATCTGATTACCATGCTCAATATATCCCATATGCATGGGGGTATTATTGGGGTAACGATACAAAAGGTTTGCTAGGGTAGATCCTCAGCCCCCTCCCCTGAATCAAATTCAGCACCCCCTGAATCAAAATCCTGGCTACGGGCCTGATCAGGAGTAGGCAATATGGGGTGTAATGGATATGTTTTTTTCTCCTGTCCACCATCTCATCCTGACCAAAGTCAACCCTTTTGGGATCCAAACCTTTCCTGCCTCTGAAAGAGAAGAAGAAGGGCAGGGAGGGGGCTTGGGGAGAACCCCCTCCCTCCTGGCCCACCCTGCCATGTGGCCCCCAATTTAGGAAGTTTCCCTGGTCTAGGCGGAACTACTCTGCTTTAGCCAGACCTCACCTGGAATAACGCTGTGTCCACTTCCGGTCAAAACAAGTCAAGAAAAGAGTTAGTAGCCAAAAGGTAGCACTGACATATCTAAGAGGAGTAATTGGTAGACAAGGCAAGGTTTGAATGGGAAACATCCTGGCTCTCAAGCCTCAGTGCACAAAACTATCTGAATGGGTGTGTTTGCAGGATCAGCCGTTACAATGCTACTCCAGATATACACCAAGCTTTCCCTCTCTCTCTCACGCTCTCTTGAGATTTGACACAAAGGGATTTTGGTGAACAATAAGTATTTGGCATCTTTGAATCGCCTTCCTCTTCAGCGGCTCTTCCGCCTCCTTCCGCGCATGGTACATGTTCCAAGCAAATGACAATCCCGAACAACACGGATACAATTCCAGTTCTACCTGCACAAAAACAAACCTCTAAGTCCAAACAGATGCAACATTTTCAGTTGAGCCACAAGCCTTTCCAAACCTCTGGTCACTTCTCTTTCTAGGTTTGCTCCGTTCAGAGGAAGTAAGGACTGTGTAGCTTGCGTCGGTGTCTGCCAATACGTTTGCATTTCCAATTTCTCTTTCCCCTTTCGGGGTACCATATCTGTTCATGATCCAGCCTTCTTAGATGTTAGGGAAACGGTAGTTGAGTTTTCTCATCCCGCAGTAGTACTTCTTGTTATCCAAAGCAGGCAAGATGTTGCTGCTGGTTAACTGGGGAAGGTACTGCAACTAGAAGTAGAAAATAGGTAAGGGTTGGTTAAATACAAGTGCTATGAAGGTTAAGAGGCAGGCATGGGCCAAATTGGGCCCTCCAGGTGTTTTGGACTTCAACTCCCACCATTCCTAACAGCCGGTAGGCTGTTAGGAATGGTGGGAGTTGAAGTCCAAAACACCTGGAGGGCCCAAGTTGGCCCATGCCTGCTGTAGAATCTCGGAAAAGGGGGGGTCAGGCTCGGTGTCCCGTGATCCCAAGCCCCCTTACCCCAGGGATGTGCTTCCGGGTCGGCCGGCTCGGCTTCCGTGTCATGGAGCGCTCCCTCCCCAGCTCCACGTCCCGGATGCCGTCAAAATAGGAATGCTGCAGGAGTTGCTCACAGGTCAGCCGCTCAGCCGGATCCATGTGGAGGCAGCCCTAGAAGGAAATGATATGGGTCAATTCGGGGAAACATTACTATTCTACTTACTTACTTAGGTGATCCCTCACCGTCCAAGTAAGATTGTCCTCCAAGTGTGGTGTCTTGGCGGTCGGTCCATAGGTGACTGTGGAGCCCTATTCTTGACCTGCATGTTCTCCCGCAGTGAGGGCATCGGTTTCCAGGTGAAAGGTGGTCCTGGTCAAGGTTGGCTTGATGCGCCTTCCTCTTGGCACGTTTCTCTCTTTTACCCTCCATTCATGCCTCTTCAAATTCTACAGCACTGCTGGTCACAGCTGACCTCCAGCTGGAGTACTCAAAGGCCAGGGCTTCCCAGTTCTCAGTGTCTATGCCACAGTTTTTAAGGTTGGCTTTGAGCCCATCTTTCAATCTCTTTTCCTGTCCACCAACACTCCGTTTCCCATTCTTGAGTTCGGAGTAGAGCAACTGCTTTGGGAGACGGTGGTCGGGCATCCGGACAACGTGGCTGGTCCAGCAGAGTTGATGGCGGAGGACCTTCGCTTCAATGCTGGTGGTCTTTGCTTCTTCCAGCACTCTGACGTTTGTCCGCTTGTCTTCCGAAGAGATTGGCAGGATTTTCCGGAGGTAGCGCTGATGGAATCGTTCCAGGAGTTGCATGTGACATCTGTAGACAGTCCACGTTTTGCAGGTGTATAGCAGGGTTGGGAGGACAATAGCTTTATAAACAAGCACATTGGTCTCCCTACAGATGTCCCGGTCCTCAAACACTTTCTGCTTCATTCGGAAAAATGCTGCACTCGCAGAGCTTAGGCGGTGTTGTATTTCGGTGTCAATGTTGACTTTGGTGGAGAGGTGGCTGCCAAGGGAGCGGAAATGGTCAACATTTTCTAATGTTACACCATTAAGCTGCATCTCTGGCATTGGAAAGGGGTTGGCTGGGGACTGCTGGAAGAGCACTTTGGTTTTCTCGATGTTCAATGACAGGCCGAGCTTCTCGTATGCTTCTGCAAAGGTGTTTAGAGTGGCTTGTAGATCTTCTGAATGCGCACAGATGACATTGTCATCAGCATACTGGAGTTCTATAATAGATGTTGTTGTTACCTTGGTTTTGGCTTTCAGTCTAGTGAGGTTAAGCAGCTTGCCATCTGTCTGATAGATGATTTCCACTCCGGTGGGAAGCTTCCCATCAACAAGATGACGATCATAGTGATGAAGATGGAGAATAAGCTCAATATAAACAGACTACACATTGCTGCATACTGACACTACTAGCTTCTAAACTGTATTGCTTCTGACGCAAATTGACTTCTAAAAATGGAGTCTCAGTCTGAATAGTCCCAGATCTGGTCACATGGTCTGTAGTCCCTCCCACAACCTCAAACAACATAGAGTTAAGGGAAAACTGCGTATCAAAATATACATACAATACAGTAAGCAATCTGAATTAGATAGTATAGGAGGCTTGTAGAAGGTTGCCCTCAGTGCCCTCAGCCCATTCTTTAAAAACTCCCCATTTTAAAAGCTTGCCAGAATGCAAAGTCTTTGTTCGGAGGCCAGCAAGAAGAAAACATGCTGACAGATTGATATCTGTAGTCCAGAAATAGCCAGAAATAGAATACGTATTCGTATTGTGATCAAAAGACAGTGGTGCTTTGCTCACCTTCATGAGTCCGAGGGCAGAATAGGAAATGGATGGGAATTTCATTTCCAGAGGCTCCTATGAGAAAGGAAGAAAACAGATGAGTTTTTGTTGTGTGTCCCTCCAGGTGTTTTGGACTTCAACTCCCACAATTCCACTGAAGTCCAAAACACCTGGAAGACTGAAGTTGGCCCCTGCCTGGTGTAAGGTTTCTTTAATACAGCATTTCTCAACCCTGAGAGGGGGTCACAAGAGGAGTTTGAGAGGGGTCACCAAAGACCATCCAAAACACTTATTTCTGATGGTGTTCAGAATCACTTCAATAGTCTTTTGGGTTCACAGTGCTCTCCAGATTTAGGTGAACTACATATCCCCTAAATCACTGCCAATTCATCTCAAACCCCACCAGTATTTTCTGTTGGTCATGGGGGGTCTCTGTGTGGGAAGTCTGGCCCAATTCTATCGTTGGTGGGGTTCAGAATGCTCTTTATTTGTAGGTGAACTATAAATCCCAGCAACTACAACTCCCAAATGTCAAGGTCTATTTTCCCCAAACTTCACCAGTGTTCACATTTGGGCATACTGAGTATTTGTGTCAAGTTTGGTCCAGATCCATCATTGTTTGAGTCCACAGCGCTCTCTGGATATAGGTGAACTACAACTCCAGACCTCAAGGTCAATGCCCACGAGACCCTTCCAGTTTGGTTCAGATCCATCGCTGTTTACTCCATAGTACTCTCTGGATGTAGGTGAGCTACAACTCCAAAACTCAAAGTCAGTGCTCACCAAACCCTTCCAGTATTTTCTGTTGGTCATGGGAGTTCTGTGAACCAAGTGTGCCAAGTTTGGTTAAATTCCATTGTTGGTGGAGTTCAAAATGCAAGTTTGGTCCAGATCCATCATTGTTTGAGTCCATAGCGCTCTCTGAATGTAGGTGAACTACAACTCCAAAACTCAAGGCCAATGCCCACCAAACCCTTCCAGGTTTTTCTGTTGGTCGTGGGAGTGCTGTGTACCAAGTTGAGTTCAATTCCATCGTTGGTGGAGTTCAGAATGCTCTTTGATTGTGGGTGAATTATAAATCCAAGCAACTACAACTCCCAAATGTCAAAGTCTATTTTCGCAAACTCCACCAGTGTTCACATTTGGGCATATCAAGTATTTGTGCCAAATTTGGTCCAGTGAATGAAAATGCATCCTGCATATCAGATATTTAGCAAAATTACAGTAATGAAGTAGCAATGAAATTATGTTGGGTTGTTGTAAGTTTTTTGGGCTGTATGGTCATACAGCCTGAAAAACTTACAACAGCCTGAAAAATTTACAGCCCGAAAAACTTACAACAACCTAGTGATTCTGACCATGAAATCCTTCGAAAATAATGTTATCGTTGGGGGTCACCACAGCATGAAGAACTGTATTAAGGGGTCGCGGCATTAGAAAGATTGACAAACACTGCTTTAGCGGTAGCTTGCCATTGCTTTTGTCTTGCAAAGATAGTGCTGTTAGAACTGAATTACGACTCTGGAGACTCGGTTTCAAATCCCCGCTCAGCCTTTGGGTGCCTTGGACAAGTTACACTCTCTCAGCCTCAGAGGAAAGCAAGGGCAAACCACCTCTGAGCAAATCCTACCAAGAAAACCCTATGAGAACGTCTCCTTAAGAGTGAAACTACTTGAAAGCAGGCAACAACAAAAACAGAGAGAGCGTGGCTTTGCCCAAATCCCAAAGCTTATTCCCCTAGACCAGTGTTTCTGTAGTTCACCTCCATCCAGAGATCACTGTGGACTTAAACAATGATAGATCTGGACAAAACTTGGCACAGATACTCAATATGCCCAAATGTGAACACTGGTGGAGTTTGAGGGAAATACGACCTTGACATTTGGGAGTTGGTAGTTGCTGGGATTTATAGTTCACCTACAATCAAAGCATTCTGAACTCCACCAACGATGGAATTGAACTAAACTTGGCACTCAGAAATCCTGTGACCAATAGAAAATGCTGGAAAGGTTTAGGAGTTGTAGTTCACTGGAAGGGTTTGGTGGACATGTACCTTGCGTTTGGGAGTTGTAGTTCACCTCCATCCAGAGAGCACTGCAGACACAAACAATGATGGATCTGGACCTAACTTGGCGCGAATACGCAATATGCCCAAATGTGAACACTGGTGGAGTTTGGGGGAAATAGACCTTGCCATCTGGGAGTTGTGGTTGCTGGGATGTATAGTTTACCTAGAGTCAAAAAGCATCCCGAACCCCACCAACAATAGTATTGGGCCAAACTTCCCACACAGAACCCCCGTGACCAACAGAAAATACTGTTTTCTGATGGTCTCTGGTGACCCCTCTGACACCCCTTGCCGACCCCCCCAGGGGTCCCTACCCCCAGGTTGAGAAACGCTGCCCTATACCATGCTGGCTCTTGGTTTTCTAGAGCATTTGTTCATTTCAAAGGCAAAGCTTTTAGCTGAGAGAGAACTGAAGAACTGGACCCTGCCCTTTAATTGTATGTTGCTTTGCAAAGTCTTCAGCTTTCTCTTCTGTTTCCAATAGCAATCCCTTTCCGCCCCCGCAGCCATGTCTCTCGATCGCTCCTGGAGACGGCCACGTCCAGCCATTCCCTTTGGCCAAATGGTCGGCTCCTAGGCAATACACATTGTGCCTTGAAGCAGAAGATAAAACTCCCTGGCATTTGCCTAGAGACAAAACAAAGCCTTCCTCGTAAAAGGGGCGAGCGAGAGGCCGAGCAAAAAGCAAAGGGTTGCAAGCCTGTCGCCTGCAGAGATGTGTTTGTGAGTCAGGTTGTGCAAGGAAATGCGCTCACCATGCTCTCTGGATCCGGGATCCTGACCCCGCTGAAGAACTGGTTGGTGCTGAAGACTTGCTGGTGCCTGGGAATGAGGTCGCCTTTGGGCAAGAGATTTAGGAGATATAGGACAAAAGACACTTGGAAAAAGTACATACAAAAAAGAGCACTAGGACCACAAGCTGAACATGAATCAAATATGTCATGTGGACGCTAAAAAACCCAATGCAATTCTATGTGCCATCAGCAGGACTAAAGTATCTAGATCAGGCATGGGCTAATGCCTGTGAATTTTAAAAAAAAATACCATTTATATTTAATTCTGTTTCAATGTTTGCATATATAAATAAGGTAATAATAATAATAATAATATTTTTCTGCTGCATTAGAGACTATGGAGCTGCATTAGAGACTATGGACTATGGAGCTAAACTTGTTGACCCAAAGGTCACAGGTTCAAATCCAGGGAGCGGTGTGAGCTTCCACTGTCAGCCCCAGTTTCTGCCAACCTAGCAGTTCAAAAACATGCAAATATGAGTAGATCAATAGGTACCGCTTCCTTCTGTGGGAAGGTAATGGCGCTCCATGCAGTCATTCTGGTCACATGACCTTGGAGGTGTCTATGGACAACGCCGGCTCTTCGGCTTAGAAATGGAGATGAGCACCAACCCCCAGAGTCGGACACGACTGGACTTAATGTCAGGGAAAAACCTTTACCCTTTACCTAGAGATTATACTATTTATTTAAAATATTTATATCTCATCTTTCTTGACCTCTGCGGAGGGACTCAGATGGTTTCCAAACAGGCAACAATTCAATGCCAAACATAATATAAAACGCATAATAAAATACATCCACAAAATTAAAATAATTCTAAATACGCATTAAGAACCTGCTTGCTAGATTAAAATCACCAGAATCGTGTCCAAAGCAGTCCAAGCTCGGTCCAATAAATCATGTATTTCCCTGTGAACGCCTGATCCCATAACCAGGATTTAAGCTTCTTCCAGAAGTTCAGGAGGGATGGGGCAGATCTAACCTCATTGAGGAGGAAGGTTCACAGCCAAGGGGCCACCACGGAGAAGGCCCTGTCTCTCGTCCCCACCAAATGCGACTGCAATGGCGGTGGGACCAAGAGCAGGGCTTCCTCAGATGATCTTGAGGTCCTAGACGGTTCATAGGGGGAGATACATTTGGATAGTTAAACTGGGTTGGAACCATTTAGGGCTTTATAGGTCAAGCCCAGGACTTTGAATTGAGCCCGGAAGCTAATAGGCAGCCAGTGGAGTTGGCGTAGCAAGGGAGTTGTACGCTCCTTGTACCCCACTCCGGTGAGCAACCTGGCTGCCAAGCTTTGGACTAGCTGGAGGTTCCGAGCTATCTTCAGAGGCAACCCCATGTAGAGTGAGTTGCAGTAGTCTATTCGGGATGCAACCAGAGCATAGACTGTTACAGCATCTATTGGGAGGCCTTTGAATAACACTTACAAACCATTAAGGAAGGCTTAGGAAATCTCGGAAGTTTCGAAAAGTTTTGAATATTTTTTTCTGTGAAAATCGGAATTGACTTCCGAATCGAACCATGAGTTTTGAACCATATTGTTTTGGATCAAACAAGCCTAAAACTCAGATATACTACCCGTTGGAGCTCCTTACCTAAAGTCCTCCGGATCAGGTAGAGCTGGTCCACGTCGGATTTCCCCGGCCACAACGGGATGCCAGACAGCAATTCGGCGAAGACGCAACCAATGGCCCAAACATCGACTGGGGGCCCGTACTGGGTGTCCCCCACAAGCAGTTCGGGAGAACGGTACCAACGGGTCGCCACGTAATCCGTGTAGTAATCACTGGGCCCGGCTGAGTGGGAGGGTTGAAGGAACAGAGGGAGACGGAGCAAGAAATGAAGCATAAAGCACATCCGTGTTCAAGCCAATTCCCAAATGCAGAAGACCTAGTTTACGCATGGGCAAACTTGGGCCCTCCAGGTGTTTTGGACTCCAACTCCCACAATTCCTAACAGCCTACCGGCTGTTAGGAATTGTGGGAGTTGGAGTCCAAAACACCTGGAGGGCCCAAGCTTACCCAGGTCTGTGTTAGACCCAAGACACCCCAGAAACTTACTTAAGATGCGAGCAAATCCGAAGTCGCAGAGTTTAATGACGAAATGCTTTGTGATGAGGATGTTTTCCGGCTTCACGTCTCTGTGTATGCACTGGAAGCAGAGAAGAGTGCATTAGGGACAAAGAAATATAATTTGTGCTGTAGTTACAATGCCTTCCCTTTGACTCTCTCTTTTAACTTTTTGGGTATGATTTTTCAGAAAAGGGCGAGAAAAGGTGGGAGAAATGGCCATCTGTTGGGAGTGCTTTGATTGTGTCTTCCTGTCCGGCAGAAGCGAGTCTTATTGGATTATTTAAAGGACCAGGTTGTGGCACAGCTAGTTGGGAGTCAGCTGCATTAAAAATCACTACTGACTGAAAGGTCATGAGTTGAAGCCAGCCCAGGTCGGAGTAAGCTCCCATTTGTCTAGCTTACTGTTGACCTTTGCAGCCCAACAGTTTTATCTGTCAAGTAGGGAATTTAGGTACCACTTATGCAGGGAGGCCAATATAACTAATTTACGTTGCCATAAAACTCTCCAGCAATGTGCAAAAGAACAGAAGTGAGTCAGATTGGATTACTGGATTATTAAAAGGACCAGGTTGTGGCACAGCTAGTTGGAAGTCAGCTGCATTAAAAATCACTACTGACCGAAAGGTCATGAGTTTGAAGCCAGCCCGGGTCGGAGTAAGCTCCCAACCATTTGTTTAGTTTGCCGTTGAAAGACAGTTGTATCTGGGGCCAGGCGTATCCCGAAAGACAGTTGTATCTGGGGCCAGGCGTTTGATTAGAGGCCAGCGGCAATAGGAAAAGGAAATTTGGATTTTGCGACAATCAATTCTCCCAGCTCAGCTCGGTTTTACTGGCACATTAAAATGATTTTATTGTGAATTGTAATTTTTATGGTATTTATGCTGTTAGCTTCCTCTGATGCTCATGTGAGACCGTGCTGAGTCCTCTTTGTGGGGAGAAGGGCGGGATATATATGAAATAAATAAATAAGTAATAAATATCGGTCAAGTAGGAAATTTAGGTACCACTTAGGCCGGGAGGCATATTTAACTAATTTACAACGCCATAAAACTCTGCAGCAGCGTGCAAAAGAATGAGAAAGTACTCCATCAGTGTCACAAGTGGATGGTGACGCAACAGCTCCCCCGGTGGCCGGAATTCAAAGCATACTGTCATGAAGCTGGAAGCTAAATAGCTCTGTGTGTCTGTCTATATATGTTGTGTGTCTATGGCATTGAATGTTCGCCATGTATATGTGCATTGTGATCCACCCTGAGTCCCCTGCGGGTGAGAAGGGCAGAATATAAATATTGCAAATAAATAAATAAATAATATTGGAATAACAACAACAATAATCCGACCTGACTATGATTATAACTATCCTGTTTTGTCTTCCTTAAAAAAAGACTCAAAGCAGGCTCACAAGAAAACTAACACAATATAATCGCTCTGGGGAGGGTCTCTTCCAACGCTAGAGTCTGTCATTCTATCTTCCCAAGTTTGAAACCTGCTGCAAACACTCTCAGATGTGCTGGACTACCATTCTTATCCTTATCAGTAAAATGGGAGTTGCAGTCCAACAAGGGCACTGGGTTGGAGAAAGGACAAAGGTGTGGACAACCAGACTTACATTATGTTTATGGCAAAAGTTGACTGCCTGGAGAGTCTGCCACGTTATGCTCTTCACCAAATGCTCTGGAACCCTGTGAAGAAGAAGGAAGAAAAATGGAAACTAGGAAACTAGGAAAAAGAGTTTGTATATCTGTGGAATGGGTGGGACAAAGGACTCTTGTCTGCTGGAGCTAGGTGTGAATGTTTCAACTAACAATCCCACAAACGAACATTACATTGGGTTTCCTAGTTCCAACAGACCTCACTACCTCTGAGGATGCTTGCCATAGATGCAGGCGAAACGTCAGGAGAGAATGCCTCTAGAACATGGCCATATAGCCCGAAAAAACCTACAACAACGCAATGTAATGTTCGTTTGTGGGATTAACATAACTCAAAAACCGCTGGACAAATTGATACCAAATTTGGACACAAGACACCTCTCAGGCGCACAAGTGACCGTCACTCATAAAAACACTGAAAAACACAGTAGAAGGAACTTAAAAAGCCAAAAAAAACAAAAAATACATTACAACGCATGTGCAAAACCACATATATACACATATATACAAATATATACACACATATATACACACACAAAACACATATACACAGACTGGGCCACAGCAACGTGTGGCAGGGGACGGCTAGTATCTATATAAATAAAAATGTAATGTTTGTTCGTGGGATGAACATAACTCAAAAACCGCTGGGCAAATTGACACCAAATTTGGATGCAAGACAGCTCTCAGGCCAATGAGTGACCATCACTCATAAAAACACTGGAAAACACAGCAGAAGGGACTTAAAAAGCCAAAAAAACATTTAAACATAGATAAAAATTCACTACATAATAACATCAATAAAAACATCAGTATCTTTGTCCCTAACAGTTGAAAGAAATATCTAGGTATATCACGCTAACAGCTGAGAAACCTAATTGCCTTGCATGAATATGAGTGGATATTTACCATTAAGGAGAAGGTTGACTCAAGTGAGTTGTTGTAGGTTTTTCAGGCTGTCTGGCCATGTTCTAGAAGCATTCTCTCCTGATGTTTCACCTGCATCTATGGCAGGCATCCTCAGAGGTTGTGGGGTCATGCCTTTCCAAACCTCTGAGGATGCCTGCCATGGATGCAGGCGAAATGTCAGGAGAGAATGCTTCTCAAACATGGCCACACAGCCCTAAAAATCCACAACAACCCAGTGATTCCAGCCATGAAAGCCTTCAACAATACATTGACTCGAGTGAGTTTTTAACTAGTCTCAGGAAGATCATAATTTACAAAAGGTTACGATCTCTAACAAGGTTATGGAGATTTCAGCACTTAAAAATACTTTAAGTAACCCAGCATTTTATCTTCAGGACAGGTTAGTCTATTTCTAGGCTCCGACAGGGCCGGCCACTTACCCGCGGGGGTTCTTGTCCAGCTCATGGAGGACGGTGTGGTCGCAGTACTCAAAGACCAGGTGCAGCTTCCGCTTCCGACGGAAGACCTCCAAGAGGTTGACCAGGTTGGGATGCTTCAGTTGCTGGAAAGCAAACAAAGACGGCATCAAAATACAGCATTCATTCCAACCATGGGAAATGGGGCCGGGCTTCCAGAAATCAGCTTTGCCCTTCCAACATGATGCAGAACAGAAACCGTAAAGGTGTTTTTTTTCCCCAGACAGCTCAACAAATATCCCACTTATACAGAAAATAGAAAATAATAGAATTGTATTGTCGAAGGATTTAATGCACAGAATCACTAGGTTGTTGTAGGTTTTTTCGGGTTATATGGCCATGTTCTAGAGGCATTTTCTCCTGACGTTCCGCCTGCATCTATGGCAAGCATCCTCAGAGGTAGTGAGGTCTGTTGGAAACTAGGAAAAAGGGTTTATATATCTGTGGAATGACCAGGGTCATTCACTTTCAACAAAAGATCCCCCCCAGGAACTTCCAAGCCATTAAATGGCTAATCAAGGTGATCAGTTGAAACATTCATACCTAGCTCCAGCAGACAAGAGTCCTTTGTCCCACCCTGGTCATTCCACAGATATATAAACCCTTTTTCCTACTTCCAACAGACCTCACTACCTCTGAGGATGCAGGCAAAACGTCAGGAGAAAATGCCTCTAGAACAGGGGTAGGGAACCTTTGGCCCTCCAGCTGTGGTGGACTTCAACTCCCACAATTCCTTGAGGCTCGGCATTGGGCCAAGGTAAGCCTTTGGGGCAAATGCCGTGCCTCAAGGAATTGTGGGAGTTGAAGTCCACCACAGCTGGAGGGCCAAAGGTTCCCTACCCCTGCTCTAGAACATGGCCATATAGCCCGAAAAACCTACAACAACCCAATAATAGAATTCAGCGTAGAATTGTATAAACTTGTTATACTGTTCAAATTCGCGGTAATCACAAACAATATTAGATGGGGTTTTGTAAAGCAAAAAGTAGGCGCTAGAAACAATATCATACAAAAGCTGACTGGCACAACCTGGGGATCATAACCAGATACAGTGAAGACATCTGCCCTTGCGCTGTGCTACTCTGCTGCTGAGTATGCATGCCCAGTGTGGAACACATCTCTCCATGCTAAAACAGTGGGTGTGGCTCTTAATGAGACATGCCACATTATTACGGGGTGCCTGCGCTCTACACCACTGGAGAAATTACACTGTTTAGCCGGTATTGCACCACCTGACATCCGCCGGGAAGGAGCAGCCGATAGTGAAAGGACCAAGGCAGAGACATCTCCAGCTCATCCCTTGTTTGGGTATCAGCCAGCACGTCAATGACTTAAATCAAGAAATAGTTTTATAAGATCTACAGAGACACTCACTGGAACACCTCAGCAAGCGAGAGTCCAAAAGTGGCAGGCTCAAACCCAGAACCTCAATCAATGGCTGATACCAGATGAGAGACTCCCCCCTGGTCACACAGAAGACTGGGCGACTTGGAAGGCGCTGAACAGACTGCGCTCTGGCACCACGAGATGCAGAGCCAACCTTCAGAAATGGGGCCACACAGTGGAGTCCATGACATGCGAGTGTGGAGAAGAGCAAACCACTGACCACCTGCTGCAATGCAACCTGAGCCCAGCCACATGATGCACAAGGGAGGACCTCCTTGCGGCAACACCAGAGGCACTCCAAGTGGACAACTACTGGTCAAAGGACATTTAGTCAACTACCAAACTTGCAAACTCTGTGTCTTTTGTACGTTTGTTTGTTCTGTCAAGAATGTAATACAACTGTTTGGTTGCCTGACACAATAAATAAAATAAATAAATCTAATCACCTCTCAACAAAAGTTTGCTCTAGGCACTGTCAAGCCATCAAATGCTAATCAAGGTGGTCAGTTGAAACATTATGGAGCCCCCGGTGGCGCAGTGGGTTAAACCCCTGTGCTGGCAGGACTGAAGACTGACAGGTTGCAGGTTCGAATCCGGGGAGAGTCGGATGAGCTCCCTCTATCAGCTCCAGCTCCTCATGTGGGGACATGAGAGAAGCCTCCCACAAGGATGATAAAAACATCAAATCATCCGGGCGTCCCCTGGGCAACGTCCTTGCAGATGGCCAATTCTCTCACACCAGAAGCGACTTGCAGTTTCTCAAGTTGCTGCTGACACGATTAAAAAAAAGTTGAAACATTCACACCTAGCTCCAGCAGACAAGAGTCCTTTGTCCCACCCTGGTCTTTCCACAGATATACAAACCCTTTTTCCTAGTTCCAACAGACCTCACTACCTCTGAGGATACTTGCCATAGATGCAGGCGAAACGTCAGGAGAGAATGCCTCTAGACCATGGCCATATAGCCCGGAAAAACCTACAATAACCCATAATACTTTGTGTATCTTAGTAATAGATATCTGTGTTCTATATAAAGTGGAGTCTAGTCTATTTCTCCCTGTTGATGTCTGTTCTGGAGAGAAGCACCCTAACCAATTCCAACAGGAGCCAAACAGAAGCATGCAAAATGTGCCTCTGCCCGCACCCATGTGGCATTGAAAGGAGAAAGTAAACAGCCTTGTGCATTTCCAAACCCGAATCTGCACTTCAATGAGACCGAAAGCAAAGGGGAAGGCGGACAGCGCCTTTCATCTCTGCCTTCCGTGTGCTGCGTGTCCCTCCGAGTGTTTGTTTACATGGCTGAAAAATGACCGATCCAGAAATGTTTGCTGATGGATGAACAGGACCTCAGAGCAGAAACTCCTTGCTCCTTCCCACTTGTAAACAAACAGTCGGTTACTATTGACCGAGGAAGTGTTGTTGAGAGATGGCGACAACAACAGGCCCGCACTTGTCCGATCAATACGGTGCTCAGAGCACTGCGAGGCGTTTCTTTTGTTTGCACTGCGTCTCAGCAAAGGAGGAGGAGAGGATCTATTGATCACCCCACACAAAGGGCTGTCGAAAGGATTGTTCATGGAGGGCACGGCATGCATAGAAGCCAAGCTTGGGCCAACTTGGGCCCTCCAGGTGTTTTGGACTTCAACTCCCACAATTCCTAACAGCCGGTAGGCTGTTAGGAATTGTGGGAGTTGGAGTCCAAAACACCTGGAGGGCCCAAGTTGGCCCATTCCCACCTTATCAGGACCCATAACGTTTTCTTGGGCAAGTAATGCCACAGACTTGTCAGGATTATTGAAAGTATGCATGTATGTTTTTTCAATGGGTTTCAATATGCTTAACAATGGTGTTCATATGTATTCAAGATGGATTCAATTATGTTCAATTGTATGCTGGATTTGTTGTTGTAAGAGACAGAGAGAGAAGAGACCTTGGCAGAAGTAAGATAACAAGTTCTCTCTGTCTGGGAAGAATTAGGGAGTAGCCGGCTTACAGCCAAAGTGAAACTGATAAGCAGATGTTCGGTAACCGTACTATTGCTGTGCTTTGTAGTTCCCGATGTAAGCTCGCTTGGAAGTAGACGTGTAGAGATGTACTGAGTAAAAACTTTGTTATTTTTGAAACTGGAAGATTGAATTGTCCTGTTTTGTGTCTGTGTGATCTAGTAACCTCATCTCCGCTGCGCATAGACCCCAGGGTCTCACTCTGATAAGTCTCCCATCACAAGGGTTGATTGAAAAATAATGCCTCCACCTTCGTGACTTGGGTTTGGATGGGAATATTTTAATATTTTAATAAATCAAACCTTAGAATGTGCTCTTTAATGACCACTATTCACTTTCCCACATAATCACCAGACAATTGGATACGTTTCTGCCAACGATGAACAAGTTTTCTGAAGCCGTCACAGAAGAAATCGACACTCTGTTTCCGCAACCAGCGTCTCCCTGTTCTCTCAACGTCTTCATCAGAAGCATCATGATGTCCCCACAGATTTTCTTTCATTATCGGGAACACAATCACCAGACAATTGGATATGTTTCTGCCAACGATGAACAAGTTTTCTGAAGCCGTCGCAGAAGAAGTCGACACTCTGTTTCCGCAACCAGCGTCTCACAGTTCTCTCAACGTCTTCATCAGAAGAATCATGATGTCCCCGCAGATCTTCTTTCATTATCGGGAACAGATGGAAGTCAGTCGGACTGCTAAATCTGGACTGTATGGAGGATACTGTATGGTGGTGAGATCCAGATTCTGAAGTTTCAAGTCTGTGCGCTTTCATTTCTAGGCATCAGCATCCTGGGTACCCATCGTGCACATATCTTCCGATAGCCAAGCAAAGCAATAACATGACCCACACGTTCTTGTGAAATGCCGATTATGCTTGAAATTTCTCTCTGAGTGATACGATGATCATCCTGAATCAATCTATCAATGTTTTGCTTGTGAAACTCGGTGGTTGCTGTCACAGGACGTCCAACTCTTGGTTTGTCACACAAGTCAGATGTTCCAACCTCAACATCTTTAAACTTACCCCCTCCCCAATGATGCACACTACTCACATCAACACAATCACCATATTGTTTGTCACGCAAGTCAGATGTTCCCACCTCAACATCTTTAAACTTACTCGCCCAACAACGCAAAGAACTCACATCAACACAATCACCATAAACAGCTTGCCTTCTCTCTTTGGGGTGACACCTTCTGCTGTCAAGAATTCAATGACTGCACATTGCTTAAGTCGGATTGACCGACCGTCTGCGCAAGGTTCCATACTTTGCACTTTAACAACACAACCCTTCCATGCTAAGGCTTCCTGCCAAAATTGAACTGTAGAGGAGAGTCTACTGAACAAACCGGTACCTGCCACATATGTTGCCTAAGTCGCATTGACCGACTGTCTGAGCAAGGTTCCACACTTTGCACTTTAACAACACAACTGTTCAATGTGAAGGCTTCCTACCAAAATGGAACTGTAGAGGAGAGTCTACTGAACAAGCCAGTACCTGCCACATATGTTGCCTAAGTCGCATTGACCGACTGTCTGCGCAGGGTTCCACACTTTGCACTTTAGCAACCCAACTGTTCAATGTGAAGGCTTCCTACCAAAATTGAACTGTAGAGGAGAGTCTACTGAGCAAGCCAGTACCTGCCACATACCAGTACTGCAATCTGTTGAGGAGTTAAAAAGGGGGAGGCATTACCTTTCATGTCAAGATAGTCAATGACAGGCATGGGCCAACTTGGGCCCTCCCTCCAGGTGTTTTGGACTTCAACTCCCACCATTCCTAACAGCCTACTGGCTGTTAGGAATGGTGGGAGTTGAAGTCCAAAACACCTGGAGGAAGGGCCCAAGTTGGCCCATGCCTGGCCTAAACAGTAGTAGTAGTAGTAGTATGGGCAGCCTACCTTGAGCATGCGTATCTCTCGGAGGGCGATCTTCTTAATGACGGGGTCGTCTTCCGACTCCAGGAACTTCTTGATGGCCACCACCTGCCCGGTGTCCCTGTTCCGGCACTTGAAGACCACCCCGTAGGAGCCCTCCCCGATCTTGCTGATCTTCTCGTACTTCTCCATCTCGAAAGTTTCCCCAAGACGCAACGAGCCAAGCCTCAGAATCCGCCCCTTTCTAGGTCGGGCAACGCACCGCCTGCAACCTGTGAAACCATCCAAGAAAAAGCAAAGTTGAAACCTTGCAAAAACACAGAGCGAACTGGCGAGGTCAAAGCCTTCCACAGCTGGAATCACTGGGCCGCTGTGAGTTTTCCGGGCTGTATAGCCATGTTCCAGCAGCATTCTCTCCTGATGTTTTGCCCACATCAATGGCAGGCATCCTCAGTGGATTGTTTAGAGGCCTGTTGGAAATGAGGCAAGTGGAGTGTATACATCTATGGGATGTCCAGGGTCAAGTGGAGTGTACTTATATCCGTGGAATAATGTCTAGGGTGGGAGGAAGGACCTTGACTGCTTGAAGCAAGTGTAAATGTTGCAATTGGCAAGCATGGTTTAGCACCAAGTAGCCATAAAGTTTGCAAAGTCAATTAGTGAGGGCATCTGCATAAAGGTAGTGAAGCAAGTGTGTGTGTGTATCTGTGGAATGGTGTCCTGGGTGGGAAGAAGGACCTTGTCTGTTTGAAGCAAGTGTAAATGTTGCAATTAGCAAGCATGGATTAGCGCTGAGTAGCCATAAACTTTGCAAAGTCAATTAGTGAGGGCATCTGCATAAAGGTAGTGAAGCAAGTGTGTGTGTGTGTATCTGTGGAATGATATCCTGGGTGGGAAGAAGGGCCTTGTCTGTTTGAAGCAAGTGTAAATGTTGCAATTAGCAAGCATGGTTTAGCCATAAAGTTTGCAAAGTCGATTAGTGAGGGCATCTGCATAAAGGTAGTGAAGCAAGTGGAGTGTCTGTGTGTGTGTGTGTGTGTATATATATATATATATATATATATATGTGGAATGATATCCAGGGTGGGAGAAAGGACCTTGTCTGCTTGAAGCAAATGTAAATGTTGAAATTAGCAAGCATGGATTAGCACTGAATAGCCATAAAGTTTGCAAAGTCAATTAGTGAGGGCATCTGAATAGAAGTAGTAAAGCAAGTGGAGTATTTCTCTGTGGAATGATATCCAGGGTGGGAGAAAGGTCCTTGTCTGCTTGAAGTAAGTGTGGATGCTGCATTTACCAAGCTTGAATAGCATTGAGTAACCATGAAGGTTGCAAAGTCAGTCAGTGAGGGTGTCTGCATAGAGATACTGAAGCAAGTGGAATATCTATCTATCTGTGGAACAATTCCCAGCGTGGGAGAAAGAACCCTTCTCTGTTTGAAGCAAGTGTGAATGTTGCAGTTAGCAAGCCTGAATAGCACTGAGTAGCCATGAAGCTGCAAAGTCAATCATTGAGGGTATTTGCACAGAGGTAGTGAAGCAAGTGGAGTGTAGAATAATTCCCTGTGGAATAATGTTCAGAGTTGGAGAAAGAACCCTTGTCTGCTTGAAGCAAGTGTGGATGTTGCAATTAGCAAGCTTCAATAGCAAAGTCAATCAGTGAGGGTATCTGCATAGAGGTAGTGAAGCAAGTGGAGTGTATAAATGTCCAGGGTGGGAGAAGGGACCCTTGCCTGTTTGAAGCAACTGTGGATGTTGCAATTAGCAAGCTTCAATAGCATTGAGTAGCCATGAAGTATGCCAAGTCAATCATTGAGGGTATCTGCACAAAGGTAGTGAAGCAAGTGGAGTGTAGAATAATTCCCTGTGGATTTATACCACACAATCAGGTGCCAGTTAACACCTCCGAAGCAGAGAATGCTTCCAGGCAACAGAGGCCAGGCTACCATACCTCTATGCAGATACCCTCACTGGTTGACTTTGCAGCTTCTCAATGCTATTCAATTGCAACATCCACAGTTGCTTCAAACAGGCAAGGGTTCTTTCTTGCACCCTGGACATCATTCCACAAGCATATATACACTCCTCTTGCCACTGCCAACAGACCTCTGAAGATGCAGGTGAAACGTCAGGAGAGAATGCTACTTTAGCATGGCCAAAATGGCGAAGGTTTATTTCACGCCTGGAGATGTTAATGCTGGAGGGAGCAGCTTAGCAGTTTGGCAAAAGCCGGTCTGGTTTCTGATGGCCCAAGACCCTCTCGTTGTTGTTGTTGTTGTTGTTGTTGTCGTTGCCAACTGCAGCCAGGTCTGCTTTGATTGATGGCTACTCCAAGGGGCATCTAGAGTTCCTATCTGCTAACTAGAGGTAAATAAGCACTTAAAATAACTCCCAGATTGAATTGGTTTAAGCCAGGCACGGGCCAATTTGGACCCTCCAGGTGTTTTGGGTTTCAACTCCCAGAATCATCTGAGCAATAGCGTTGTGCCTCTGCTTGCAGTCCGTCTGTGCAATCTTCTTGCAGCAGCTGAGGATGTGAGCCATCTGCTTCCTTGCAGAGTCTACACCTGGGATCTGTCGTATTATTATTATTATTATTATTATTATTATTATTATTATTATTATTACTACGACAATGTGGTTTACTGTGAGGCACATGCAAACAAATCTCTGTGAGCAGAAGAAAACAACAACAACAACAACAAATAATTATATATATATATATTTGTTATTATTATTGCCATCTGCCCATAGAGGTTTGTTTGCATGTGTATCATAGTAAACCACATTGACCTCAATGGCTGGACAAGCCACAGACACACCGTTGTAGTTTGTTTACTGTGATGCCCGATTGCCTCTCTTTAGACTACTCAGGAGTAGAAGCCACAGTTTTGTCTTTGCTTTAATAATAATAATAATAATAATAATAATAATGAGTAGAAGCCACAGTTTTGTCTTTGCTTTAATAATAATAATAATAATAATAATAATAATAATGAGTAGAAGCCACAGTTTTGTCTTTGCTTTAATAATAATAATAATAATAATAATAATGAGTAGAAGCCACAGTTTTGTCTTTGCTTTAATAATAATAATAATAATAATAAATGAGTAGAAGCCACAGTTTTGTCTTTGCTTTAATAATAATAATAATAATAATAATAATAATAATGAGTAGAAGCCACAGTTTTGTCTTTGCTTTAATAATAATAATAATAATGAGTAGAAGCCACAGTTTTGTCTTTGCTTTAATAATAATAATAATAATAATAGAGTAGAAGCCACAGTTTTGTCTTTGCTTTAATAATAATAATAATAATAATAATAATAATAATGAGTAGAAGCCACAGTTTTGTCTTTGCTTTAATAATAATAATAATAATAATAATAATAATAATAATGAGTAGAAGCCACAGTTTTGTCTTTGCTTTAATAATAATAATAATAATAATGAGTAGAAGCCACAGTTTTGTCTTTGCTTTAATAATAATAATAATAATAATAATAATGAGTAGAAGCCACAGTTTTGTCTTTGCTTTAATAATAATAATAATAATAATAGAGTAGAAGCCACAGTTTTGTCTTTGCTTTAATAATAATAATAATAATAATAATAATGAGTAGAAGCCACAGTTTTGTCTTTGCTTTAATAAATAATAATAATAATAATAATAATAATGAGTAGAAGCCACAGTTTTGTCTTTGCTTTAATAATAATAATAATAATAATAATAATAATAATGAGTAGAAGCCACAGTTTTGTCTTTGCTTTAATAATAATAATAATAATAATAATAATAGAGTAGAAGCCACAGTTTTGTCTTTGCTTTAATAATAATAATAATAATAATAATGAGTAGAAGCCACAGTTTTGTCTTTGCTTTAATAATAATAATAATAATAATAATAGAGTAGAAGCCACAGTTTTGTCTTTGCTTTAATAATAATAATAATAATAATAATAATAATAATGAGTAGAAGCCACAGTTTTGTCTTTGCTTTAATAATAATAATAATAATAATAATAATGAGTAGAAGCCACAGTTTTGTCTTTGCTTTAATAATAATAATAATAATAATAATAATGAGTAGAAGCCACAGTTTTGTCTTTGCTTTAATAATAATAATAATAATAATGAGTAGAAGCCACAGTTTTGTCTTTGCTTTAATAATAATAATAATAATAATAATAATAATAATGAGTAGAAGCCACAGTTTTGTCTTTGCTTTAATAATAATAATAATAATAATAATAATGAGTAGAAGCCACAGTTTTGTCTTTGCTTTAATAATAATAATAATAATAATAATAATAATGAGTAGAAGCCACAGTTTTGTCTTTGCTTTAATAATAATAATAATAATAATGAGTAGAAGCCACAGTTTTGTCTTTGCTTTAATAATAATAATAATAATAATAATAATGAGTAGAAGCCACAGTTTTGTCTTTGCTTTAATAATAATAATAATAATAATAATAATAATGAGTAGAAGCCACAGTTTTGTCTTTGCTTTAATAATAATAATAATAATAATAATAATAATAATAATGAGTAGAAGCCACAGTTTTGTCTTTGCTTTAATAATAATAATAATAATAATGAGTAGAAGCCACAGTTTTGTCTTTGCTTTAATAATAATAATAATAATAATAATAATGAGTAGAAGCCACAGTTTTGTCTTTGCTTTAATAATAATAATAATAATAATAATAATAATAATAATGAGTAGAAGCCACAGTTTTGTCTTTGCTTTAATAATAATAATAATAATAATGAGTAGAAGCCACAGTTTTGTCTTTGCTTTAATAATAATAATAATAATAATAATAATGAGTAGAAGCCACAGTTTTGTCTTTGCTTTAATAATAATAATAATAATAATAGAGTAGAAGCCACAGTTTTGTCTTTGCTTTAATAATAATAATAATAATAATAATAATGAGTAGAAGCCACAGTTTTGTCTTTGCTTTAATAATAATAATAATAATAATAATGAGTAGAAGCCACAGTTTTGTCTTTGCTTTAATAATAATAATAATAATAATAATAATAATGAGTAGAAGCCACAGTTTTGTCTTTGCTTTAATAATAATAATAATAATAATAATAGAGTAGAAGCCACAGTTTTGTCTTTGCTTTAATAATAATAATAATAATAATAATGAGTAGAAGCCACAGTTTTGTCTTTGCTTTAATAATAATAATAATAATAATAATA